GCGCACTGCCGCCGGACCCCAGGCTCTGCGTTGCTCGCGCGCGCTGTGTTCACCGGCGCTGTGGTGTTCGCAGGCGCTATGGCGTTGTCTGGCTGTGTAGTGTGCACAGGCGATGTAGTATTTATAAGCGCTGTGGTGTACGCAGGCGCCGTGTTCACAGGTGCTTTGATGTTCCCAGGCGCTGTGGTGTTCACGGACGCTGTAGGTCTTGCTCCCCGATCTCGATGGTCCTGTGGACACGCAAGGCACGCAATAGCGGCGAGTACTGGCGGGAGGCATGCCCGTAGTTGTACTAGCCGCCCGTTTTGCAGTTGATCTGGAGTTTCTGTATATAGAAATGAGGAATGCGCTTGGGCGATTTTGCGAGAATTCCCCGAGCAAGGGCGCTGGTTTGAGATTCTGCGCTGGGTTCCGTCAGATAATTACGGTGCAGGAAACACTCTTGGCCCTTCCCCTAGGACCGGCTCTGCGAGGATGTCCCGGGTGCGGACTACGTTCAGGATAACCATCGTGCGCGTCTTCTGCTACCCCTTCGTCCTCCTCCTGCTTGTCGGTGCCTGCTTCGCCCCGCCTATGCGCCCGGCGCCTTCTCCCTTCCAGGGTCGCCAAGGCCCGAGCCGGCCCCGAAGAGGGCGGACGCCCACATGGTCATGGCCTTGTCGAAAGAGTAGCCCAGGACGGACCAATCCCCCAACGTCCGACGTCACGGAAAACGTTTCGGCTTTACGTTGGAGTTGTGAGTGACAATATTCTGAATGCCTCGCGGGTCCCCACCAGCCCATCAAGGGACGATGCCCTGGGGATCTGCCCTAGCGTGGCGCCGTTTGGAGAGCTCGGGGAGCCTCTGTGGGCCAGAAGTAACGCGGATGCCTCGCAGGGATGTTTCCTGGGATGTCTCTTAGGGGCCTCTTGGAGGCCTTCTAGGGGGGTTTTCGGGGGCCTCTCGGGGGGTCTTTGGGGCCTCTTGGGTGCCTTAAGGTTGACCAGGACGACGACGACGAGGACCTCGACGACGACGACGACGAGGACGACGACGTTGACGACGAGAACGACGACGACGAGGACGACGGCGACAACGAGGACGACGACAACGAGGACGACGAAGACAACGACGACGACTCTTCGGGGCCGCCCGGGGGCCTTCTCTTCTTCAGGCCCCGCGGGCGCCTCCTCGGGGCCCTCCCGGGGCTCTCCTGGGAACTTCTCGGGCCGCCTTTTTCTCGGGAGGCCAAAATGGGCCCGACACCGATCAAACAAACAGCAAGATAGTCGGAGGAGCATCAACAATACACCACCACCAGCCCTGGCCAGGTCCATCTTGGGCCCTGGACTGGTGTATAGACCTTCAGGCTTGGGCCAGGAGGGCCTGTACACCAGTCCAGGGCCCAGGATGGGCCTGGCCAGGGCTGGTGGTGGTGTACTCTTTGGAGCTCTCCTGGATTGGCCTCGTCGCCGAGGCCATACTAGACGCTTGAAAGACGCGCGACCCCCCCCGCCCCGTCCAGGCCCTGGGGGAGCGGGCAGGGGGAACTAGTCGCGACTTCTCTCCCAGACGCAAGCTGTTGACGTAAGGTAGCACCCGAGTCTCAGCACATTCGGCGGTCGTCTTGGGATGAACACCTAGCTATTGGGGTCCAGTGCGGAGCCCAGGTGCGCGACGCTTGGGCGAAGTGCGCCACGCGTGCCAGGCGCGTCGCGTGCACCAGGCGCCCCTGGGGCCCAAGCGTGCCAGGCACGCCTGGTGCGCCAAAAGCGCCACGCGCGCCAAGTGCGCCGCATGCTCCAGCCGCGCTAGGTGTACCACGATCGTGGCACGCGCAGAGTGTGCCAGGTGCGCCCGCGCACATCGGGAGACATGTCGCCGCTCCACCATCCTTGTCGAAAGCCAATGCACACTCGCGGCGGAGTGGCCATCATGATGCCTGGTAGGCCTGCACACAGCGGACAATGTGCCAGCACACCCTCCAGCCCTGCCAAAACCAATGTCAAGTGATCCCGGGGTGCCCGCACATGGTCTAGATTTAGCCGCGAAGCGAAGTTTGTAGTGTTCCCATCCTCCTGTGTCGGAGTCTCGTTCTGAATCGAGCACTGCGGTCGCGATTCATGTTCCTCGTTCTCTTCCTCTCTTTTGCATTCTGCCTCCTGCCTCATTGCTTCCCTTGCTCGTAGCTCCCTGGGTGGCTCCCCGGGTGGCTGCGAACTGCGCGATTTTTCGCCATTTTCGTGGGCTCCTGGGAGGTTCAACGGAGTCGGGAGACACGCGGATCCATTGGGGACCTCGCTGCTCCCCAGGTGGCTGCGAACTGCGCACCTGTCACCGCACTCGTCACCACTTTCATCGGCTCCTTGGAGGTCCAGCAGAGTCGGGGGCCACGCGGATCCATTGGGGACCTCCTGCTCCTTGGGAGGCTGCGTCCTGCGCAACTGTCGCCACGTTCGTGGGCTCCTGGGAGGTCCAGCGGAGTCGGGGGGCAAGCGGATCCATTGAGGACCTCGTTGCTCTTTGAGTGTTGCGAACTGTGCAATTGTCACCACGTTTTGTGGGCTCGTGGGAGGTCCTGCGGGGCCGGGGGCCACGCGGATCCATTTGGGACCTCGCTGCGCCCCGGGTGGCTGCGAACTGCGCAACTGTCGCAACGTTCGTGGGCTCCTGGGGGCACGGCGTCGGTGAGGGCAGCGCAGATCCATTCTGGACCTCGCGGCTCGATCAGGCGCTGCGAAGTGTGCAACTGTCGCCCATTTCGTGGGCACCTGGGAGACACGGCGGAGATGAGAGCAGCGCAGATCGTGCATATGGGGAACTCGCGGTTTCCTGGGGGGCTGCGGCTTGCGCACTTGTCGCCATTTTCGTGGGCCCCTGGGTGGTCCAGTGGAGTCGGGGGGCAAGCGGATCCATTTGGGAACCGCGCTGCGCCCTGGGTGGCTGCGACGTGCGCACCCGTCACTACTTTCGTGGGCTCCTGGGAGGTCCAGCGGAGTCGGGGGCCACGCGCATCCATTTGGGATCTCGCTGCGCCCTGGGTGTCTGCTAACTACGCAATCGTCACGCCCTGCGAGGCCTCCTGGGAGGTCCAGCGGGGCCGGCGGCAACGCAGTCCTAACTATTCGGGACCTCGCTGCTCCCTGGGTGACTGAGGGCTGCGCAACTGTCGCCACTGTCGTGGGCTCCTGGGAGACACGGCGTAGATGAGGGCAGCGCGGATCGTGCATATATGGCGATGTGTTCTTGTGTATGGAACGTTCACACACATTCTCGCCTCGCGTTCGCGTGGAGGAGGGATTGGGCACGTCTCGGGTAATCTGACAAGGATGGTGGCCCTGCGCACAGCAGGCCATTCGATGGCACCCCCGCCGACCTTTTCAAAAAACATTCAAGTGGTGGCGGCCCCCCCGAACATGACCTACGATTTTGCCACAAAGTTCACTTTGCATTGTTGTTTGACAGGGATGGCCCGGGCGCGGTTGGGCGCATGGTACCGGGTCTGTCGCCAGGCGGGTGGGCGAGGGGGGTATACTAACAAGGAGCACTGATCAAGGTGCTTTCCCAGAAGGACGGTCGTCTCGTTCACTCTACTCCCATTCGCCCTCCCACCGCATAAGTGGCACCCGAGTTTCATTATGGGCAGGGGCCCGCCATCGACAACCACCGGGAACCAATGCAGATTGCCAGCCAGGTAGGCGACGCCCGCGAGGTGCGCTGCGCGTGCCAGGCCCCCCCCCCAGCATCCTGTCAAATAACAATGCACAGTTCTCGCGGGGCGCCTGCGTATGATCGAGATTCTGCCCCACATTGTCATTCGTATGGTTGGTTTGACAGGGGTGGTGGGCCTGCGCGCAGCAGGCAACGTGCTGGTTCCACCACCCGTCGTCCTTCTCCAAGAGTACGGAAATCAAACTGATTGTGTGTTGGCCGTGCATGATCCATATTTTGCCGCAAAGTGCATATTGTGTGGTCGTTTGGCGAGGATGGTGAGGAGGGGTTGTCATTTTTCCGGGTTCGCCCCTTTGTCAGGTGGGATATGAGTGTGTATATCGGGGGGTATATTACTAAAAAGCAGTGGTAACCGAAGGGAGAGAAGGGGGGAGGATGGAATAGGAAACGCCGTAAACCATTTGCACCCAGAGGATTGGTGGGATGTTCGTTCATGGTTGGTCGGTCCCATGCCCCCCGATTCTCAGTCTCTCTTTGCGTGGCGAGGCGGTGATGCAAGATCAGCGTTTGCGGACAGCAGATATTATGCGCAAGGCCCGGGGAGATGGACCCGCAAGGCCCAAACAACAAAATCACCGTAGGATTGAAAACAGGTTCGAACTCACCCCCTTTACTTTGGAAGTGGAGTTTGGTGGAGCCCGTTGGCCCAACACCACCCTGGTCCATCCACAGGTGCAAAAGGCAGGCAGCACCGGTGGTCGTTGGCCTTCGGTCTGCCACCACAGAGTAGCTTCTGCGAGCTGGCTTCAAGCGTGCATCACGACAAGCAAAGATCCCGCTCCCAGGTGTGGACAGGAAATTGTGGCCCGAAGTGCGACGTGTGGAGCATGGGCTGCGTCATGTTTGAAGTATTTTCGAACAAGTTGCCTTTCGAGATCTCGGGCAGCGTGCAGTCTTTGGCCAAGAAAGGGGTCAAGGACGCAACTTGTTGAAGCGGTCCTAAGAGCATGCGTTGCATGGGAGAGCGTATCGCACAGCGTGTTGTAGGATATGACGCTTGATAGTGCCAGATCAGGACGACTATGCATTCGATTGTGTGAGGCCCCAGTGTCGAGTTTACCAGCAACGCGTAGTTTCTCGAATCAATCACGTCCCAAATAGTGTGAGGCTGGACGCGGCATCTTCGTTATTTCACCGCGTATGCGAAACACGCTTCAGCGGCTGGAGATCTACAAGGCTGGCCCGAATTGGAGCGGGATGTCGGCGTCCAAAGAAGCCAAGAATTGTTGCGCGCAGCTCCTGACATTCAAGGAATCGGCGAGGCAAGTGGGGAGAAGGAAATGTCGGAGGAGGAAGCGTGGCACGCCAGTATTGCACGAGCATGTGAGCATGAGCGACCTTGTGTTGAAGAGCAGTTCCTGAGCCCTCCCTTGATATCGGCGCACGCCCATGTGGATCTCTGTCCCTGTGCTCTCTCGGAGCCTCCTTGCGGACACCACTCCACGGTTGCACCACGTGCTGCTTCTGATGCTCACCCGCGTCGTCGTTTTGATTGCCGTGGGTGCGCCCTTCAATACGTTTGGACAGTGTTTTGGAGTGTATAGCTCGCAAGGGGCTGTTTCACGGTTCGAGCCGATCGGTCGGGGTCGTCGTGCGCGATTCGGTCCGATTGGTTGCGCCGCGGCGGGACGAAATTGTACGGCCGTGTCGGAAGATGTTGGTTCATGCGCGTACACGCGTTGCTTACATCACTGGACGCGCAGACATCAAGTGATATAATAATACGATCAAGGGAGTGCCAGCCAGCATGGACCCCAAACAAAAAGTTATTGCATTGTGGAGGTGGAAGGTATGGTGTGCAAGTTGAGTGATGTAAGCTGTGGCGTGTAAGGTGTTATGGCGTGAGTTCTGTAGGGAAAGCTATGGTGTGCACGGTGTGCGGTACCAGATATGTTGTATACGTTGCGTGGTCTGAGCGGTTCGGTGTGAGCCATGGTGTGTAAGGTTATGGTGTGTAAGCCATGTGGTCTGAGCTGCATGGTGTGAGCGATGTCCTGCAGTCTGTGCGGTGCGACCCACGTGGCGGAAGCACGGCCGTGCAGGCTGCACGCGCAGGCTACGTGCCCTGCGGTGGGTGTGGTGTGCGCTGTGCGCTGCAGGCTCTGCGATGCAGCCTGCGTGGTGCCGCGGAATGCTGCGCAGGCTGCGCGGTGCAGGCGCGCGGGGCGCCCGCGGGGCGCCCGCGAGGCGGGCCCGTGGCGCCCACGGGGCGCCCGCGAGGCGCCCACGAGGCGCCGACGCGACGAAGCCTTCGGAGACCCGCCCAGCGCACGGGGGCGCCCCAACGAGGCGGGCACGGGCGCCGCCGAGGCGGCGCCCCGCGCGGCCCAGGCAGGGCACGGGGCGCGGGGCGCCCGCGCGGCGCCCGCGGGCGAGCACGGCGGCCAGGGAGACGAGACCCCGGGGCTCCCCCCCCCCTCCTCGCCAGCGCACGGGGGCGGAACAGAGGGGGGTGATGACTAGGGGGGTGGGGGGGGATCTCGTGGCGGGGGCCATGGTATTTCCCCAGATGTCATGGCGCCTCTTCTCATGTCCTCGCGTCCCTGGCCCCCCCCGCTGGGCCGCGCACATGCCGCCGGTCATGCTTTGCACCCCCCTCTTGGACACCCCCCTCTTGGCCGCTCCCGAAGCGCACGGGTCGCCCACGAGGCGCCCACGAGAGGGCACGAGGCGCTGGTGTGGCGAAAGCCCTGCTCTCAAGGGAGGAAAGAACCACCCGGACCGGACAGCTGGCGTTTACTGAACGGCCCTGGGCGTTTACTAAACGGCCCTGCCCTGTTTGATTCCTTCTTTGGGTGCGTTTACTGAACGGCCTGCGTGTTGGGGTGGTTCCTATCGGGGTGGATGTTCTGCCCTCTATTCTCCAGGGGGGCCTGCCCAATGTTTTGAGAAAGCCAAGTCGTAGCCCCTGGGCGCGAGCACAGCTAGTGGGGAAAGCACCGCGCAGGTCGCACTGGGAGACAAACGCCTGAGCAACCCTCGTGGCCCAGTCGGAGCCACATGTGGAGGCTGACCAAAGCCGAGCATTACAAAGCCCATACGATTACACAAGATAATAAAGGCGTGCTAAAAAGAGCGGCGGGCAAAGGATGTGTAAAGCCGAGCTGCCAGCAATCATGTTGTGCCTGAGGGCCTCCTCCCTCATTCCGTGCTTCCTCCCTTATACCCTCCCCTCGCCCATCCCCAGGTCTCCGCCCTCGTGCCCCTGTTCCACCTTCTCTCCCCCGTCTTCCCTTCGCTCCCAGACCTTCTTCCTCCTGGGGCCTCTCACGGCCTCCAGCGCACCATGCGGCTTGTTGGCACTCTGGGGGGTTCTCGTGCCTGCTGGACCCTTCTGGAACCCATTAGGCTTCCTCGAGCCTCTCACCCAAGCACCACCCTGGGGCTTTCTGGGACCGTCTCAGCCTCCTTGGCATCTCCTGAGAGCTCCCAAAGGCCAGACATTCATTCCCCGGCCCAGCTTCCTTCAATCCCGACGCCAGCTCGGTTCTACAAGGTCGGTGTCGCTGCACAACTGCACCCGCTCCGACAACATGTCGCCTCGAGCCGACTTTCAATCGGGCTCGCGCGTGCAGCGGGGAGGCGCTTCCAGTGGCACAGGCCGCGCTCGCGCTGGGCGCCTCGACATCGAGACAAGCACGTTCTCCACGCGTACCCCTGACCTCCGACGTCGTGCTTTTTTGTCGCAGCGTGGACCCCCCAGAGGCTCTGGCCACTCCCTCCGAGCCTGCCCTTCACCCCAACTCGTTCTTGGATGGTCCCGGGGCCCGGCAACGAAGGGCCCCCCAGAGCCCGAAGCTGGCGCAGAGCGCGTCCCCGCCGCAGTGTGCCCGCAGCGCGCAGAGCTCTGCGGAGGCGCTCCAGCTCGGGCAGTCTTGCCCGCCCCTCGGGCACGCGGCTCCGAATCGTCTGCTCCCCCGCGTTCGCGCGGCGAGCCCTCTCCAGAACACCGACCAGCACGTGCGTGCGCCCCCCAGCACGCTCCAGCATACCCCCCTCCAGCACACCGAGTGCAGGGCAGCCTGCCCGCGCCACGCTGGGCGAAGGCGCCCAACCGGGGCCCTCCAGGAAGGCTCTTGCCTTCGGCGCGTCCTCGCCCTCCGCGGAGGGGCAGCGGAAGGCCGCTGGAAGCCTGGGGAAGTAAAGCGGCGGCAGGCGCGCCAGCAGAAGTTGGCGGAAGGGGGGCGGAAGGCGGCGGAAGTACAAGGCAGAGGAGGAAAACGTACCGCTACAGCTACCCTTGCCTCGTTTCCTTGTCTTTTGGCCTCCTGGGAGGCCCTTGTCGATACCGCTGGATCGCCTCGAAATCTGAGTCTGAACACACCCCGGGAGGGGTTCGGGTATCGGTACCGCTCGGTTTTCCCAAAATGCGAGATTTCAACAAGCTTGCATCCAAGGGGTTCCAGAATCGCCCAACGCCATCTCAGACACGGCGGCAACAGGGATTGCGGCAGCTGCAGCGTAGGAGCCCGCAGCAGCGTCGTCAAGCCGTGGCGACACAGAGCGCACATGAAGCGGCCCCTCCCGAGCATCGAGCGCGCACGCCAGTGGTGGCACTGTTGCGTATCATCTGCTGTCGTGTCTTGTGTGTGCGCGTTGGCCGCAGCTGGGCATGCGGCACACGAAGGCAAGCCTGCAGTCTGGTGCCCCCTGGGAGTGATGGAGGAGGAGGAGGAGGAGGAGGAGGAGGAGGAGGAGGAGGAGGAGGGGGGAGGGAGGGAGGGAGGGAGGGAGGGAGGGAGGGAGGGAGGGAGGGAGGGAGGGAGGGAGGAGGAGGAGAAAGAGGAGGAGGAGGAGGCAAGGCACGGGGCAGCAGCAGCACGCACAGTGGCTCCATGCACGACGCCGTCGATGTTGTTCGCGTCAGAAGGGCTCTGTGCTGGAGAGCGGCGGCCGTGGCCCACACGGGGCCACACGGCCCCGTTGGATATCACCGGGCGCCAACACGGGGTCAAGCAGCCCCGCTGGATTCCCGAGAGTTCCCCCCCCAGAGGCCTCCCGAGAGGGGTGGCACAGCATGCTCGCCAGCACGGGCGTGTGGCTGCCGCAAGTTAGCAACGCTACAAATGGACGCTGCCACATCAGGGGTTTGCAACGAGACTGTTCGGAATACGCTTTGGCTCACCTGAAACCCACGAAGGCGCCCCATAGTTAATTGAAGTGGGCCCTTGGAGACATCGGGGACGTAGGCAATTCCGTGGCGTACCGATGCAGGGCTGCATTTGCAGCGTTCGCCGCACGCACGCGTGCTCCTGGTATTGCGTCGAGCGCCACGCCCTGTCCCGCTGACGGTCCCCAGCGCCGTCTCTTCGATGGCGTTGCCCGATGTTGCCCATCCCCCCCCCCTCCTCTTCCGCCCTCTCCTCCCTCCCTCCCTCCCTCCGCGCCCTCTCCTTTTCCGCCCTCCCTCCCTCACCCTCCTCCCTCCTGAGGCCCACGACGTGGCGCTCTTTTCCCACAACTTGGAGCCCAAGTTGTAGGACAAAAACGCCATGGCGTGGGTATCGGCAGGAGGGAGGGGAGAGAAGAAGAGGCAGGAGGAGAACAGGCGAGAGACGGGAAGGGAGAGGGAGACTATTCGAATGATCCGTTGAGTCCCGAGGTCTCGGCCCAGTACCAATGGGCCAGCCTCTCATCCCAAGCCGTTTCCAACGACAGCCCCAGGGCTCTCGACGCACCACTGGAGTCCGAGAATGACCACGCACTTCCCGCCGGTGAGTTGCTTCACGACGCGAGGAGGTCTGAGTCCTCTTTCTCCCAAGGGAGGAAACGCCACCTCGACCCCGAGAAATTGGCGTTCGCTGAACGGCCCTGGGCGTTTTGAACGGCCCTGGGCGTTTTGAACGGCCCTGGGCGTTTACGAAACAGCCCTGCCCTGTTCGACTCCTTCCCTGCTTGTGTCTACCAAACGGCTTCGCTTGTCGGGGTGTTTATTCTGAGGGCGGACGCTCTGCTATCTATTCTCCACCTCCTCCTCCTCCTCCTCCTCTCCTCTCCTCCTCCTCCCTCCTCTCTCTCTCCTCTCTCCTCTCTTCTCCTCTCTCCTCCTCCTCCTCCTCCTCCTCCTCCTCCTCCTCCTCCTCCTCCTCCTCCTCCTCCTCCTCCTCCTCGTCCTCCTCCTCTATCCTCTCATCCCCCGCTAGAAGGCATCCGCGAGGAGCGGGTGCTACCTGCCCGCGTACCCCTGCACGGGGACGAGCGGTGCGGGTGAGGGCAGTGCGCCGTGAGGAACGAGCGACCTCCCACAGAGTGATCACGGTTGGGACAGACTGGACTCGCCAGTGCAGTTGCCGCGCTACAGTCAGGGCGTTGAAGCAAGCCGCGTTGGGCTCATGAGGGTACATGGCTTCCGGGCCGCTGCTTGGATCTAGGTTGGGAGACCTATTCGCGCCCGTCGCTCGCCGTAGCCAGAAAAGCCTATCCGTTCCTTGTGGAGGCACGATGGCTGTAGCCCCGAACTTTGCCCGACTGCTCGATCGAACGCCCGATCCTCCTCTCCCCGTCTGCACCTCCGCGCAGGCCATCCGCGGCAGAGGCGCTGAAGCACGCCTGGTTCAGGATACGCGAGAAGGACATCAAGCTCAGCGAGCACGAGGTAAAGATGCTCTGCGAGGCGCCCGCACGACTGAGGGGCAGCTGCACCCTACGTCCTCCTAGCGTCCACACCCTCTGACCTCCTAATTACATGTCCCTGCTTCTCACCCTCCTCCGTTCCATCCTTGTCCTCACCCTCGTCATGCTGTCCCTTCTCCTCCCCCTCCTCCTCCTCCTCATCATCATCCTCCTCTTGTCTGTTCTCCTCCTCCCTGATCCCCCTCATCCTTTTGTACCTTCTTCTCCTGATTATCCTCCTGCTCGACCCTTTTCTCCAGACTCCGCTCAGTTGCCTCATCATGCTACGTTCTTATTCGCCTTCTCCTCCTCCTCCTCAGACTCCTCCAGCCCCGTCTCATACGTGTCATCATCCTCAGCCGCCCCCTCCTCGGCCTCGCCGTCTTTCTCCTCTACAAAGTTTGCCTGCACGTGCACTCCGCATTCCTCAGGTTCGCACGAGCGTACCTCCCAGGTGAGGATGAGCGTCGTGCGTCGGAGCGGCAGAGGCCGCATCCCCTCCTCTCTAACTCTGACCGTCATCATCCCTTCCTATTCCTCCTGCTCATCCTCTCCCTCCCTCCTCACTTCCGTCCTCCTCTGGCAATCTCCCCCAGCTCTGGGTCCTCCTCTTCCGGCAACCTCCGTGTGGAGCTGGAGCACCGCGACGAGGACGGGCAGCCCAGATGGCGCCGACCACAAGGATCTTGCAGGCCCAGTGGTGCCCCCAACGTGCCCCTGGCAGGTGCCACGGGCACAGCCAGATCCGAGCCTCGAGAGGCCACCTTCCAAGAAGCCCTCCCCTGATGATGCGCACCGCCGAGCAGGAGGAGTAGGAGGAGGAGGAGGAGGAGGAGGAGGAGGAGGAGGAGGAGGAGGAGGAGGAGGAGGGAGGAGGAGGAGGAGGAGGCGGAGGAGGAGGAGTAGGAGGAGGAGGAGGACTGGCGGTCGTGGGCGATCCTTCCAGCACGTGCGAAGGCCGAGCCGCTCCAGACCGACGAAATTGCCGCGGCGGGGGCTCCTCCCCTTTTCCTCCTCCTCCTCTCCTCCTCCTCTTCTTCCTCCTCCTCCTCCTCCTCCTCCTCCTCCTCCTCCTCCTCCTCCTCCCTCCTCCTCCTCCTCCTCCTCCTCCTCCTCCTCCTCCTCCTCCTCCTCCTCCCCCTCCTGCCCAGCGACGGGATCTGGCCCAGCTGAAGACCCGTGGAGGGAAAAAGTGCAGGTCCGGAGGCCTCCCGCGGGGGTGGGGCCCTGCTGGGAGCCCCCGCGGCCGGCAGGAGCACCGTGAGCTCCCTCCGGCATCTGGCCCGCAGCCCCGGGCCGAGGGAAGAACACGCCTCCGATGGCCGCGCCCGGCCGCCTCCGCGCTGCCGGGGCGGCAGGCGCGCGCCAGGTCACGGCGCAGTGCAGACAGGAGGGGGAGGAGGAGGAGGAGGAGGAGGAGGAGGAGGAGGAGGAGGAGGAGGAGGAGGAGGAGGAGGAGCAGGAGGAGGAGGAGGAGGAAATACGGCGGGGAGAGGGGTGTGCCCATGGCCCCATGTCGGCTGCTGACTCATCACACGGCATGGTCACCGCATAGCGTGGGGGGCCCCCGAGGGATGATCTGGTGGGCGCTTGCGGCGGCGACTCGGGTCCCGCGCGCGCGCAGACGCAGGCCCTGCCAAGAGAGCACGCGCGCGGCCACCGCGCCACGCCGGTCAGAAGCCCTGCGCCCACCGCCCTCTGCCGCGGAGGTCTCCGACTCCAGAAGTGACGAGGCGTCCCGGCGTGCCTGCAGGCCCACCACAGAGTGTTCTAAGAGGCTCTTGCGGTTTACACGACTTGCTCTCAGAGGCTGAGGCCGTCTTGTTTCAATACGTCGGCTTGGGGTTCTGTGAACCTTGCTCCTGTTGTGAGAGCACTCCTTTCTTCAAGAGCGTGTGACGCGGGAGGCCAGTAGGAGTGTCGGGGCGATCGGTCCCTGCGCAACCGACCGCAGGGCCGCAGTGCGCTGGGGCGGGGGCCTACCCGCGGCAGCCCAGGCCGTGCTGGGCCTGCGAGCGCGGAAGCTCAGAGGGTGAGGCGTTACCGATGCGGCTGCCCTTCGCTCGGCTTCGCCGTTTGGGCCTCCTGGGAGGCCCTCGGCGCTGCGTCTGGGGTCGCCCCGAGATGCCAGTCAGAACGCGCCCAGAGGAGATGTCCGGGGAGCAGCGGCATGGATGGGTATCTTTTGGCTTCCCCGGTGCTGGGCCTGCGAGCGCTGACGCGTTCATGAGGCGTTCAGAGCACTTACCCTAGGAGGAGGAGGGGGAGGGGGAGGGGGAGGAGGAGGAGGAGGAGGAGGAGGAGGAGGAGGAGGAGGAGGAGGAGGAGGAGAAAGAAAAGGAGGAGGAGATGGAGGAGAACGACGACAATCTCCACCTATGTACGATGACCCGCTCGCCCAAGGCTGTCAACGAGTGGCCGTCCAGGAGCCCGATGCAACGGGCCATGTGCCTGAAGATGGCCGTAGGCCTGCCTTCGACTGGGTGAGGAGGAGGAGGAGGAGGAGGAGTGTACTTGTACTCTGTACCCTTTTGGGCCCGCTGTCCTTTTCTTTGCCTCTTGCGCCGATCTTGATTTCTGCCACGCCCGCCAGGCGTAAGGTGTTGGCCTCCAGGCCTAAGTCGGCATTTACCCTTTCCACACAGACGCTACAGCCACGACGCTCAAGTTCGCCCAACGAAAAAAAACAAGAGGACGAGCGAGAAGGAGGAGGAGAATGCCGGGTATGACGGACGTGGTCCTGGAGGTTGTTGTTTCCCGTTCTGGGGTTCCCAGGGATCGTCGGGCCCAGACCTTAGGATTTTCGAGCAAAGATTCAGGATGAAAAGTCGGCGGTGGCCAAGTCCATACGGAGTGTTCGGTCTCCGTCTGGATGTATTCCGTCTGGACTTTGCCTCTCCCTGCAAAGGCTCGAAAGCTTGTCCCGTGGACCAGGGCCCGCTTCCGGCAGGATCCCCTTCGGCCCTTCCGCTCGTGTCAGGCCCCCAGAGACCAGGACACGGATAAACCAGGACACGGTAAACCAAGGAAACGAAACTTTTTCCTGCAAATGCACATTTTTCAGCACCCGTGCATTTTTTGTTTGCTGCACTGCAGGATTCGGGTTTGTGTCCGGGTTTAGCGGGGTTTCTACAGGCTTTAAGGGCCTGTGTCCGGGTTTATCCTGGAAGCGCTGCAGTGCCTTATTTTGTTCGTGCTGCCGTCTGGAAAAATTGGCTTCGAGGGATGTTGGGTGTCCGGGTTTAGCGTGTCCGGGTTTACGGGGCTTTGATCGTGCCAAAAGGGGGGAGGATTATGACCCACGGACCCCTGGCGGCTCGACCAAAAATCGCGCCAGGGGTATTTCTCCATCTCCTGTGATCTTCAGACATGGCCAGACGTACCCCACAAAAGATTCAGCCTTGCACAGGGGTCCTCGGGGCCACAGACAGGACGAGGAACAGGACAAGGACGAGGGAGGAGGATGAGGGGACAGAACGGCGACGGCGCCGAGCAGGGCGGGAACGAGGACGAGGGGGAGGATGACGAGCAAGAGGGTGAGGAGGAGGTAGAGGAGAGCCGGAGGAAGAAAGGGATGACGCAAGAGCGCTTGAGCTTGGGGCGCCTGCCCAAAGCCCGCACCTGCAAGAAGCTGAGCGGACACTTAAGTGTGGAGCCATGATGGCGCGTCAACGACGTTGGACGTTGGACGCTTCGGGGTACGTATCCGTCGAGGTGGGGCAGGAATAGAGGGTGGAGGATCATGACCACAGTGGGGACGAGGACGAGGACGAGGATCTTTGTTGGACGGTCGTTCCTGGTCGATCTATGTTGCGCTGTCCGTTGTGCAGATTGCCGTGCTCTTGCCGAACTGTGACGTCACACTATCCGCATGCCTGGGGCAAGTCTTGCCACCATGGGTACCAGTGCGGTATGAAAATGCATGCAGGGTGGTTCTGCCGTATTCTCCCGACTGGCTTGGTAGAGCCGTCGTGTGGCCAGTTGGGAAGCATCGATGCGCCGTTGTAGTTTGCCGCGGCGGTAGCGTGACATGGTTATTGCGCTACCTCTTGGGGGAGGGGCTTGTAGGGGGTTCTTGGAGGCGTCTTGGGGGCACCAGCGGGGCTTTGAGGGTATTTGGAGAGCATGTTGGGGGTCTCGTGACCGCCTTGGGCGCCACGGTTCTATCGAGCTTTCCCGAAGAGGCTTGGTTGAACTGGCTTGGTGCCGCCAAGGCAAGCATCGCAGCCGTTTTGGAGCCCTCTTGAGGTGGGTGCGGGCCGTGTGAGGAGGGGTATCGGGCCGTTTTGATATCATATTGGGGCCGTCGTGGGTTGTGTGCGTGGGGGGGCGGGGGAACGTTGGTGAGACCATATTAGCCCCAAAGGATGCCTAATCACAGAACTACGGCGAGGCACTTGGGGGCTTTCTAGGGACAGTTTGACGCCGTTGGGGGTTGATTGGGCGTCTCTAGCCTGGAATTGCGGCCGTCTGGTCAGGTCTCGGGGTCGCGTTCGACATGTCCCCCACATTTTGTTTGCTCAAATAGGAGTCTGTAGTTAGGGAACCGGTTGCGGTTTCTCCGCGTTGCCGCACGTGCCGCCTTGTGGCCGCTCGTTGGCGCCCCGTGCGCTTGGGAGGGTTGCCGATGTTGCGCCACGTTGCTGACCGAACGGCCTCGTGGGCGCTCGTGAGTGACCCGTGCGCCCAGGTGTGCGCAGAGGTTGCGCCACGGTGCCGCCCGAATGGCCTCGTTGGCGCTTGTGGGTACCCCATACGCTGGTGGGTGTGCCGAGGTTGCGCCACGGTGTCGCCCGTGCGCTTGTGGGTGCCCCGTGCGCTGAGCTTACACCACATAGCTTATACGACCTAGCTTACACCACATAGCCGACCACATAGTTCAAACACATCGCTGACACGGCGCATATTAGACCGCAGAGCTTCCACCTCCAATTCACACCACATATCTTGAACTACACGTGGTACACGCCGTAGTTTACAACGCATAGCTTAAACAATATGGTTTGCACCGCGTAGCTGCCACTTCCACAGTAGAATGACTCATTGGCCGGGGTCCACATTGGCTGATATTTTGAAGCAGTGGTGATTTTAGCAATGGAGACGGCACTCTCCATTCATTTGGCTACGAGGGGGAAACGTCCTTAGTAGACTATAGCGGCCCTATCAGGCTGATAACGTGCACTCTAACACGCTCCTGCGTGCCGTGGACCCTTGTGGGCAAATTGGCGGAGTTTCCGATTGCTTCTTCCTGCCGAGGTTGTACGGCTATCAGCAAATTCGCGCGTATCTTCACAACGTTCGACAAGGACGGTGCGTCTTGACTTCTGTTGATGGGAAGCGCGAGATGAGTTGGGGTTCTGCAAACAATGGCCAGACCAGGGTGTGCTTGCGAGAGGAGCAAGCAGAGTTCGTCGGCATGGTGCCTCGTGCAGCAGCACCCTTTGCTCTGATGGTGCTTGCCCGCGTCCCTCTGCCCTCGCTCCTTGTCATCCTCGCCCTCATCTGCCAGACATCATAAACACCGGCACCATGATCATTATCATCATGAGCATCATCATCATTGTCGTCACCGTCGTCATTGCAATCATGAACATCATTGTCAGCGTGATCCTCATTATCATCGCCCTTGCCATCATCATCATCATCATCATCATCATCATCATCATCATCATCATCATCATCATCATCGTCATCGTCGTCGTCGTCGTCATTATCATCCTCTTCGCCGTCATCATCAGCACCATCATCATCACAATCGTCGTCACCATCACCATCATCACCATCACCTGAATCGTCATCCTCGTCGTCATCGTCATCATCATAGCTGTTCGTGGCCCGAGCTGGGAGAGCGTGAGATGGTCTCGGATGTTGTGCGGGTTGTCTTAAGAACAGTTGTCGCCCGCGCGGGCCTTCCACGGAGAGAGAAAATCATCGTCACCCAGAGTGGAAGTGTGGATCGTGCCCCAGGTCGGGTACTGCAGTATCGGATTGGGCGTCGCGCGCCTCATGTTGGCGCTGCGGGGTAGCCAAGAGCTCACCTTCTACGGCTCAGGGAAGTCAACGAGCGCACCTTCTACGGCTTAGGGAAGTCAACGAGGAGGGCGCTTTGGCAAAGCAGGTGGAGTGATGATGGGCCCACCTTGGCCGAGAAGCTCCAGGGGCAGTTGGAGCTTGGCATGCCACCATTGTCTTCCACGCATGACTAGGGCGACTTCATCCTGGACCACGCGCGCGTGCTGCACGAGTTGCTGCGCGTCGAAGTCCAAGAGAAGCACTTCGGCTCAGAGAGGATTCATATCACGGATTGGGATTCTAAGTTCCAAGACCTTGCCAGTCGTCGTCGTCGGGCGGATGCGATCAATGCCAATTTGGACGCCTTTCAGGAATGGCCCAAGTTACAGAACCTGCCCCACAACAAGAGCGAGACTGGGGCCAATGTCGTCAAGACGGAGAGCAGGGTCGAGCGATTCAAGGCGGAGATGGCCGCGACAAAGGCGAAGTTCGACGAGGAGTTGGTGGGGCTCGAGCCCCAGAGGGCAGCCATCAGGGACCACACCGACACCATCGCGAAGGCCATGCAGAAAGAGGGGGGTTCGGGGGGTGCCGGTACATCCGACGCTAGGTTCGCAGTTGACGCAGGCGCGTGGGGTCCGAGGCAGGCTCGGGGGCGATGGGGGGCGCCCGCTTCGCCAAGCAGGCGCAGGACCCGGCTGCGGCGGCGGACACAGCCCAAGCAGCAGCAGTCGCAGCAGCGGCAGAGCGCGTTCGAGCAGCAGCCTCACCAGCTGCAGGCGCAGCCGCAGCCACAGCCGCAGCCGAGACGGCGAGATGCGGCGCAGGGCAGGGCACGGCGGCAGGGGACGCCCCCGCGGGTGATCCTGGCATGGGTTTGGGCTTGGATGAGACGAAGAGCGGGGAACGTTCGGCCTTGGAGCTGGAGCCATGCCAGACCACGACCAGCTCCGCGACGCGAGGAAGCAGCGTCGAGTCAACCTGGTGTCGGCAGGGTTCAAGCGCAGGGACGTCGCAGCTGCCGCGGCCCCAGCCACCCCACCCGTTGAGCCTGGAGATGGGGCAGCAGCGGGCAACCTGGTTTCAGCAGGAGGACCCCGCCACGGGTAGCGCGAAGCTGCCCAAGTCGAGGTCGAGGAAGCATCCCAGCTTCTTGGTGGTCAGCGGCGCCAGCGGCTCGGGATGGGGACCCTTGACGGAAACGTTGGCGACGGAGCCCGCCAAAGACCGCGCGCTCGGCGAGCTGCTGGCGCGCGCAGGAGTTGCAGCTCTTCGAGAAGAGCCTGAAGGCGGAGGAGCAGTGGCGCAGGCGGCCCAGCGTGGCGGCGGCGCCACTACCAGGCATTGCCAGAACGGGCTCCAGCGACGTGGGCCAGAAGCGCAGGGCCTAAGGAGCCACGGGCGTCTCGGCGAAGGCGAGGCGGGGCATGGCGGAACGGGGGGAGGCTGGCGCGAGGCGCGTCGACAATGAAGGCATGCGCACGGCAGCACTCATCAGCGGGCTGCAGCGCGTAGGAGCGCTCGTGGCCAGCGCGCCCATGGCGAACGACAGCCTGGGCGAGCGGTCGCGGGGGGAGCGCGAGCGGCGGGGAGTGGTCGCGGCGAGCGCAGGGGGGGCACTTCATCCTGGCAGGGGATTGGGACCTTGCCCTGAAGGCATTCCGCGGGAAGGCGCAGTCGCGCCTGGCGTCTATCAGGGGCACTGGTCTCCAACGACGCGGGCGCGGGAACCTGCCAGTTCAGTTTGGAGCAGGAGACGTCTCATTCGTATTACTTCATCGCGTCGAACGGTCGTCTCACCGCATCGAGCGGCGCGCGGTGCTGGAGGGGCCGTTCAGGCTGCGCTCAACGGGCAGGCCGCAACTGAGGGCACATGGGCGGCTGCCGAGGGAAAAGGGGCCGATGGCTCCAGCGGCCTTCCCGTCCAAGAGGCCTGCGGGGCTGCCGCGGCTAACGCCAGTGCCGGACGCGGTGGCCAGGGCTTGGGGGGGCTGGCTCGCTGGAGGCGCGCAAGCGGGTCGCGACGCACGTCGAGGTGGAGCTGGCCCAAGTGAGCTGAGCCACGACTGGAGGATCCCGAGCCTCGACGGGGGAGGGGGCTAACTGCGCGGCCAAGATTGGGGGGGCGCGGCGGCAAAGTGGCCTGGCGAGGCAGCCGCAGTGGTGCCTGGGAAATGGCGCGCCGGGCTGGGCGCGCTGAAGGGCGCCCCCCGGGGCAGGGGGGGGGAGCGCCGAGGAGGCCCGCGAGCAGGCGGAGGCGCTCAACTCCAAGTTCGAGCGCAAACGGCGCCGGGACTTCGGTCCTCATGGAGGTCGACAGCAAGCAGGTTCACTCATTCATACGTGGGCCTGGGCGCTGGGTCCCCGACGAATTCGGGAAGCGCGGCTGCCCCGGTGGAGGCCGGCAGAGAGCGGGCGCAGTGGCGGCGCGCGCGCGGGCAAGCTCTGGGTGCGCAGCGAGGCCAGGACAACCCGCGACGGGGTCCCAAGTGGTAGACCGCTCCTGGCCCCGCCAGGGGTCGCCGCCATTTGACCCCAATCAAGAGGCCCTCAGTGGAAGAGGTTGGGCAGGCGGCGAAGGCGTTCGGCACGAGTGCGGGGCTGGGCTCGGACCGCTTCAATCCGAGGCACCTGGGGCACGTCTCGGAGGAGCTGTCGGGCTGTCGGAGGTGCTCACCTCGCACGGCATGGCGACGGAGGTGGTCGGCGCGATGCCAGAGGCGGCCATCTGGTCCACGATTGTCATGCTGGCACTGGGGAGCGAGGGCTGGAGGCCGATGGGCCTTCTTCAGCGATCCCCCTGATGGCGGGCGGGAGTTCGGGGGCCAGAAGCTAGGAGGTTGGAGTCTGACGTCCCCTACCAGGCGGCTTCATAGTTTGGGGATTGACAAAGGCGAGCAGCCACGGAGGCGGCGTGGTTGCAGGCGCTGCGCACCGAGGCCAGCACGGCGCAGCACTCGGGCGCGGGCTGCGTACTCTTTGACTTCTGGAATGCCCACGCGGTGATCTCTTTCGCCATGGCGCAGAGGGGGGTGCTGGATGTGGGGTGCCCAGAGCAGCTCATTCAGGCTGTGCTGTGCGACTACGACGGGGGCCCCAGGTACATCATGACCGACGGAGCCGTTAGTGCATCGGCGTGCGAGCTGGCGAGTGGGCTCGTCGCGGGCTGCGGTCACGCTGGGATGATCATCAGATGCGCCAGAGGAGGAGCAGGAGGAGGAGGAGGTTGAGAAACAAAATAACGAAAAAGAGCGAGAAGGGGGGGAGGACACGAATGAGGCTGAGGACGAGGAGCGCGAGGAGGTGGAGAGGGAATGAACAGGAGGAGAAGAAGGATGGGGAGGAGGAGGAGGAGGACCACGAGGGGGAGCTGAGGAGGTTGCAGGGAGGAGGACGGGGAGGAGGAGGAAGAGGCGGAGGACCAGTGTAAACCCAAGGCCCATCAACGATGTTGGAATGCACTATCTGTCCAAACTCTTCATGGGCTCCTACAAGAGTTCAATTCCACTGAGGGGAGTGCCCCGTTTGGGGACAACCGTGTGATATGTTTGAAACGTGCCAGAGCACCATTCAAAGGATTGCAACGCCACTAATTAATCTAAATGTCGCGTTTTGGCGATCATGCATCTCGCCAAAACGGCACTCCTTGGATTTCAACTGCGCGAATCAAAATATCTGTTGCGCCCAGACAACCCTGAATCTTTCAAAACACCGTCTGCGGCACGTTAGCCATGCAAACCAGTGAAACTCGTGCAAAGTTTGAAAACGAATCTGCGCGGCGCGAAAGCGAAAGCCATGTTGCGAAACGGCCCGCATTCAACCCGTGAGCCTCTTGCAAAATTTAAAACCGAATGTGCGTGGCGCTGAGGCGTGAGCCACAGATTGAAAACAACCCTCCCTCAACCCGTGCAATTCTTGAAGATGTTGAAAACGAATGTGCGCGGCGCTGAGGCGAGAGCCACATTTTGAAAACCACCTGCCCTCCATCTGCGAAGCTGTTGCCAGTTTTTAGCTTCAGGCTCACAAGCGGTAAGGAAGTCTCAGGCGAAGCGCACGGCCCACCTTTCCGATTGGCTTCGGGGTGCGACAGAAAGGAGTTACTCATAAGGAAAAGGAATGGAGGAGGGATGAGAAAAGAGAAAGGGGAGTGGAGGATGGGGAGGGGGCGCCAATGTCTCAGCCGGTCTTCTTTCTGAAGAGCTATTTCCCGGACGCTTCCTCATCGTCCCATTCACCTCTTATTCTTCCTCCTCCTCCTCCTCCTCCTCCTCCTCCTCGCGATCCTTCTCCCAATCCCAGCCCGTCTCTGACTGGCCAGTCTACTCCGTTCCACTTCTCCTCGTGGCCCGTGGCCCTCCTAGTACTCCGTCCGTTCCCCCGTCCTCCCCTCACTTTCAGAATGTCTCGAATGTTCGTCATAAGCATTACCACCAAATGTACCGCCGCTGATCCTCTTCATTACCTAACTTGCACCCGATTGCAATCGCAACCAGGAGTGGACAAGGGCGGACGGTGTGACTCTGATGGTGGCCATGTTGATGTTGATGATGATGCTGATGCTGATGATAATGATGCTGATGATGAAGCTGATGACGATGATAGTTATGATGATGATGGTGATGATGGCGATGATGATGATGATGATGATGATGATGATGATGATGATGATCATGATCATGATCATGATCATGATCATGATCATGATCATGATCATGATGCTGGTGATGACGATGATGATGATGAGCATGATGAAAATGATGATAATACGGATGATTATGCGGGTAGTGATGATGTTGATGATGATGAAATTAATGGTGATGGTGATGATGATGATGATGATGTTGATGATGGTGATGGTGATGATGATGATAGTGAACGACGATGGTCATGCTGATGATGATGCTGATGATGCTGATGCCGGGTTCTGGAGTAGCCGCGGTCTTCTCTTGGAAGATGGGTGGGCCAATCCTGGGCAGGCGGTCGCTCTTGATGATTGTGATGATGCTGATGATGCTGATGCTGATGCTGATGTTGCTGATGATGATAATGATGATAATGATGATGATGATGATGATGATGATGATGATGGTGATGGAGATGGTGATGGTGATGGTGATGATGATGATGATGATGATGATGAAGATGATGATGGTGGTGGTGATGATGGTGATGCTTTGTACGGCCATTGCCTCAAGTCTCAAGTGCAGTGTGACAATGCCGAGTTTTCGACCATCTATCAGCAGATTCCATTTGCTGACTCGCAACAACTCCGGGATGGGCTGGACGGTCGCATCGCGAGTTATTGATTGACGCGGTCGCGCAGCTGGAGCAGTGCAGAAACACGCGTTGATGCGGACGAGAATGCGATGTCCCCGAAACAACGCCACGGACTACGTATGGAAGAGAAGAGGCCACGACAAACCACCCAGCCAAACTCACTCTTGAGCAAGAGGGTGTCGTTGTTTGCACAATAACTTGGCGTCGAGCGGAAGCAAGCGACTGCCATGGAGCTCCACGAGAACATCGCCGAGCGGGAGGCCGCGAGCGCGTGCATGCCAGCGCAGGGGCAGGCAACGCGAAGCCGCCCAGCACGGCGGAGAAGCACATACATTCACCCAACACTCAAACCTATATATTTCACATCCTATTTAAACTATATATTATCTTGAGGGGCACCCGAGGAATCGAAGAAGGAAGCCGGAGTCAACCGAGGCTCGGCTCAGGGAGCTCCCCAAGTGTCGGGCGAAGAAGGTCGTCGGCGCCACCAGCATCGGAGCGCCGGCAGGCGGCGGCGAAGGCGCTCGCACCGCTGCTCGAGGAGGTCTGGCCAAGAAGGTGGCCGAAGGCGCCGGAGATGTGGAGGACGATCGGTGGAGAGGAAGCATGTTGCCAAAATAATTGCGAGATGTGTTAAACATGTTTTGAACATAGAAAAAACATGCTTAAAACATGCTTAGAACATGTTTCGACATCTTCAACACACTTGAAATTCAATGATAGGACTGTTAGAGTGTCCATGCCCATTGTCGTGGCATCCACAACGCTGGAGGAAGCCCCCGAGCCGGGCGGACGGGCTGCGCGGCCAGAGCGCTCTGTGCCCGCTCGCGGAGAAGCGGGTGTTGGCCGAGGGGCTTCGAGCTCGGTTACGGAATCCTCCTTCTCCTCCTCCGCCCTCCTAAGGTGGTGGCGAGGTGACGGGAGTAGGTCGCAACTGCATAGGTGGACGGCGGGTGACGCCCCAGGAGCGGCGCTCGCGGAGGAGTCGTGGCGTGGTAGGTTCCACGCGGACGTCGTCGCGGGCGTCGCGGGGCCGATGGGCCGAGCGAGATGGTGTCGTTGCATGGAGTGTGCGCGCTCGATGTCCTCGTCGTCGGCTGTCGTCGTGCCTTGTTTTCTTTCCCTCGTCCCTTGCCCTCGCCAGTCCTTTCTGCAATACGTCAGCATGTTGAAGCGAGCCCGTCACCGAGCGCGAAGCATACAGTGGAGGCCCATGCCAAGAAACACCCTGCTTGCCTCCAGGGTGCCCTGGTTTTCTTGGGTTTCGATGGTTTGGCCAAGGAAGGCGTGACGTTCCCGCACCCAAAATCAATGGACGTCCTGGGGATTTAGGGTTGGGTTTCTTGTAGAAGGTTTCTTGTGGTCGGGCCCCCACTGTACGAAAGTTTGCTGCACCTCTTCCTCGTCGCCCTCGCGGTCACCCTCCCGCCCCTCCTGAGTCTCGTCTTCGTCCCCGGAGATCCGATGCCCTGTTCTTGTTCCACACGGAGCCCCCGGAAGTCTGGCCCCCTCACCTGGGGCCCGCTCTTCATCCGGAGCCGCTTCTTGTAGGCGGCCACGGGGCCCGGCGAGGGCCCCCTGAGGCCGAGTAAGACGAAGCATCTCCGTCTTGTTCTCAGCTTGTTGGAGGTTGGCGCCCTCGTCCTCCCTTGCCCCTCCTCCGCAGAGCAGAAGGCCGGCAGGACCACAACGGCACTCTCGACTACTCGGAGGTCGTCGTGGCGCTCCACGCGGTCGGCCTCGACAAGGCCGCCGCGAAGAAGTGCGCGGCGGCGCTCGACATAAACGGAGGGCGCGGGATGGCCAGGCCCGAGCTGGATCGAATCGCGAGATCGCGTCGGACGGGGACCGCATCGAATCGCCAGCGAAGCATCCCGACTCGAATCGAAGTCGGATCGCCGCGCTTGGCTCTGGCTGACCCCTGCCGAGACCCGCGGATCAAACCGAGTCGGACCGAATCGAATCAGCATCGCGGCCCCAGCCAGCCAATCGAGTCGGGCTCCAGGCGGCCTGACGCCTGACGGCGGCATCGATTTCGATGCGTGCTTCGTTGCTGTTTCAGTGGTGCGGCACCAGCGGCAGCACATCAGCTCGCACAGAGGCCAGGTTCCCGGAGCTCCGACGAGATGCTTTTTTTTCTCCGGCGTGTCACTTCCTCGGTGTCGGCCCGCGGGGGGCGTGTTCGGGCCCGTGGGCAGTGCCGAGTGGATCTGGGGCGAGGAGCTCTTCCCGGGGAAGCGGTCGGGACTTCTGGAGCCGCGGATTGGAAAAAAACGGAGCGGAGGAGGTAAGGGTCGCACACAGGCCAGGTCCTGTTCATCAGTACGCAGTGCCTTCCCAACCCGTTTGTTTGGGAACGGGTTGTCATCTGTTGCCAGGGGGGCTGCAAATTGTGCGTTGCCCCAGCAGTGATCCGGGTGTTTGGCAGTGTCGTAACCGATAGGGTCCCTCTTCGAGGTGGATCAGGCTGGCCGACCATAAAGAAGAATCATTACGGAACGCTCTCAGAGCTTGCTTGGGCGATCTAGAACGATCGCAGCGCCCGATACACGTCTTCCAGACCCGCGGGTTTCAGAGATCCCCGGTTGATCCCAGTCCGATTGAGTCCTTACTCTTGTTTTTGTGTTATACGAAGAGGAGGAGGAGGAAGAAAACGAACAGGAGGAAGAGAACGAAGAACAGCAGGAGCATGAGGAAGAAGAGGTAGTCTGTGTGAGAATTGCGTGGCCGAAAACTGGGGGCCTGGGCCAATGGGTGAATTCATGGTCAACGGACAGTCGCCATGCGGACGCCCGGGAACGAGTTGATGAGGAGGAGGAGGAGGAGGAGGAGGAGGAGGAGGCTTAGCTGCAAGCAACGTAGGGCAGACAGGACTTCCCTTCGCAGTTGCGCAGGCTCCCCCGAGGAGGGGGCACCGTCACCGAAGCGGCAGGCTCGCCGCCGTGGAGGAGGGGGGTGGGGCGCAAGAGCGCAGCGCGGCACCCGCGGCGCGGGGAGGAGACGGCTCCTGCGAGTACATCGAGTTTGCGGCCGCTTGCCTGTGCCTCCTGGAGGACACGCTGCCCTCCCACGTGGTTTACTGGTCTGTGCCCGTGTCGTGCCCGTTGCGCTCGCGGTGTCGGCCAGTCCTCCACACTCGGCCTCGAACCGTGTTGGTGGTGAGCTCGGCACGGCCGTTCAGCAGAAGGGCGTTTGCTGGTCTGCGCGGGCTTGCCGTCCTCCTGAACCGCCTTGGCGCAGCACACTAATCTCGGTTGTTTTCGTCGCGCTGTCGTTATTTCTTTCTCCCTCCCTCCTCCCTTCTCCCTCTCTCTCTATCCCGCTTTCTCTGCCACTCTCTCTCTCTCTCTCTCTCTCTCTCCCCTTCGGACTTACTTTGTGTGTGTGCCACATGTGGGCGTGCGTGATCACAGAGCGACGACAGGTTCTAACCACAGTGGAGTCCAAGCCTCTGGCATTGCGATGCAGTCGATTCGAAGCCGCAGAGGGTGCATCGGATAATCGTACTCCTCCTGAGTCAGAGTTTGCGCGCACCAGTTCTCCAATCGAGGCGGAGTTGCTAGAACGAAAGCGGCTTGCTCACAGCAGACCGTAGATTGGTCGCGAGGTGTTTGATCGGTTGATTGTCTGAGCCGCAACGTTGCTCAATCAAGCTAGACCAGCCCCTCCGACATGCTGTCTCTCTCGAGGTGGGCGGTCTCCTTTGCCGACCCCTCCCGGGGCCTATCCCGGCTTTGCGTTTCTCGGCGCATGCGGCCGTGGCGACGGGAAGCTTCCAGGATGCTCAAGACAGGGCGAACTAACAAAAACGGCCAGAGGAGTGCCGCCGCTGCCTCGACTGGCCTTTCTCCGACTCTCCGTACCGCGCGCTTGGGGAGGGTCCCGGATCCTGTGCTGTGGCCCCACACCCCGGTCCTGAGGCCACCAGGCCAAGGAGGAGCAGAATGGGTTGGAATAGGAGGAGGAACAGGAGGAGGAGGAGGAGGAGAAGGAGGATTTGGAGGAGTTGGAGGAGGAGAGCCAGGCAAGAAGAGGAGAAGTAGTAGTAGTAGTAGGAGGAGGAGGAGGAGGAGGAGAAGGAAGAGGAGGAGGAGGAGGAGGAGGAGGAGGAGGAGGAGGAGGGAGGAGGAGGAGGAGGAGGAGGAGGAGGAGGAGGACAAGCTAGGTGCGCAAGCGTCTTATCTGCTACCCCTCCCCCCATCCCTCTGTAGATCCCCTCTCTATTCGCGCAGTCGGATGCCGCAGCAGTGCATAGCATTACATGGCATAGCATGGCTTTGAAGATCAACGCGTAGCATGACATAGCATGGCGTGGCACTGCGTAGTCAAGCACTGCATACGATAGCATTGCAGCTGAAGGCATGGCGTCGCACAGCGGAACACACCATAGCACCACATTGCATACCATGGCATGGCGCTGGAAATGAGCCAACGCTGCAGCCAGAGCACGATTCGGAACGAGCAGAAGCGCGGAAATGAGGCCAGCATTGCAGCTAAAGCACGATTCGGATTGAGCGGAAGCACGGAAATGAGGCCAGCGCTGCAGCGGGAGCACGATTCGGAACGAGCGGAAGCCCGAAAATGAGGCCTGCATTGTAGCCGGAGCAACATGTGGAAGGACCAGAAAGAATGTATGTGCGAAAACAAATATGACAATAATAATAAGCAAACGCGCTGGAATCTTGCGTGTAAACAACATACGCAGAGAGGCCCGAACATCTTCCCGACAGAGTCAGGGGAGAGAGGAAAATCGTTGTCACATTGCGTACGTGATTGTGGAGGGGGGAGGAGGAGGAGGAGGAGGAGGAGGAGGAGGAGGAGGAGGAGGAGGAGGAGGAGGAAGAGGGGAGGAGGAGACGAGGAGAAGGAGAGGAGGAGGAGGAGGAGGAGGAGGAGGAGGAGAAGGGGAGGAGGAGGAGGAGAGGAGGAGGAGGAGGAGGAGGAGGAGGAGGAGGAGGAGAGGAGGAGAGGAGAAAGAGGAGGAGGAGGACGAGGAGAAGGAGAAGGAGGAGGAGAAAGCGGAGGGAGGAGGAGGAGAGGAGGAGGAGGAGGAGGAGGAGGCGAGGAGGAGGAGAGGAGGAAAAGGAAGAGGAGGAGGAGGAGGCGGAGGAGGAGAAAGAGGAGGAGGAGGAGGAGCGGGAGGGGGAGGAGGAGGAGGGGGAGGGGGAGGGGGAAGTGGAGGAGGACCGCCTTCCCGCCTCCGCGGCGCGCCGTGTGCTTCTCAGTGCTCCTGCGGGCTCCGCCCCCCTCCCGGGTGGTGGGCACCGCCCCTCCCTGCGCGGTGGCCCAGGGCCGCGCTCTCGGCGCGGCCCCGCGGCGTCGCAGGACGAGGACGACGATGGCGCTTAGGGCAGCCCCCGTGGAGGACAGCTGCCGGATGATTTCCTTTTGCACGCGCGAAGGTGCTGCCCCCTTTTCCCCCGCCAGGCTTCTTTTTTTTGGCATGGCGAGACGCGCGACATAGCATCAGAAGACTCGGGCAAAGGATGCCCAGCGTGGTCCTCTCAAACAGATGAGAATATTCCACTCGAGGTCCTAATCGTGTGGCCAGTGTGGGCAGGGTGGCTCCAGGGCGCAGCGCGAGACCCCCTGGGCGCGGCCCTCGTCTCTCTCTGGCCTGGCGCCCAGAGGAGCAGTTCGACGAGCTCCTGAGGTACGAGTTCCTCAGCCTCGGCAAGCGGAAGAAGGACGCCGGACGGCTGCCCCTTCCACGGGGGGGGGGGGGGGCACCGCGGCCTGCGGCGGAGGGTGAGACCCAGACGTGCTCGCGTCGTGCGGGAAAGCGCCATCCCGGCGCAAGGCTTTGAGCCACCTGCGGCCTCCGGCGGCCCCCCCGCCGGGCCCCGGGGGCCAGCCGACAACGGCTCGGGATCCAGGGCGGCCCTTGTGAGAGAGGGTCGGGACTTCGGCGGCCGCGTGCTGAGAGAGTCCAGGCGCTCAGTCCCCAGGGAGGATGATGAGCAGGAGGAGGAGCAGGAGGAGGAGCAGGAGGAGGAGGAGGAGCAGGAGGAGGAGGAGGAGGAGGAGGGGCAGGAGGAGGAGGAGGAGGAGGAGGAGGAGGAGGAGGAGGAGGGGCAGGATGAGCGCGAACCAGCTCACACAGTTTGTTTTCCCGCCGCCTCCCGGCGCGCCCGCGGCGGCGAGGCGTCGAGAGAAGAGCTGCCGGCGGCGGGCGCCGCGGGGCCGTCCGGTGCCCTGGGCTCCCGCGGGGCGGCGGAAGGCCCCTGCCTGAAGAGAGGCCCGCGTGCCTCGCGTGGACCCAGCTGCAGTGGCCGCCGTTCAGAGGAGACATAGGTACCCATATCGGGCCGGACGAAAGAGGGGTATTGGGAAAGGGGGGGTTACGAAATTTGCTGCATGCAGCTGGTTTCGGCCTCACCGAGGGGCCCATTCCTCGATACATAGCCGCCTCCATCGCCGGGAGGCGCCGGGAAAATCAGCTACGTGAGCTGATTCTCAAACCCCCCCTTTGCTATCCCCCCCTTTCGCCCGACCCGACCATACCGCGACCCTTCGCCGGTTTCCCTTTGTCGCGCCTCCTGGGCGGCTCTCGTCGTCACCGCTGGATTCGCCTCGAAAGCCCGGTCGGAACGCGCCCCAGGAGAGGTCAAGGGGGTAGCGGTATCGGTACCGTGTGGATTACTCAGTTGTGGCCATCCCTTTGCTGGCGGCGGGCCCCTTTCGGGGAAACGCAGGGCTCGAGGGCGGCGTTTTTTGACGCGCGTCAGCGATTCTTGACGAGCGCGTCCTGGGTTTTGACGGTCCCGCTTTCGGGGGATGTTTGCAGCGGTAGCTCGCGTCTAAATTTTCAGGCTGGGCCTCGTGCAGGACAGGCCAGCCGATTCTCCCGAACCCGAGTCTTACCTCATCGCTTTTCAGAATTCTATACATGTCCGAAGGTGTGATCGCATTCATGCCGATTGCATTACAGAAGTCCGAGTCCAGCGGACATGTAGTACAACGGATCCTTGAAGAGGTCCAGCCAAGAACATGTTATTCTTCTGCTTGATCCTCCGATTCCTGGAGCAGCGCCGCTGGGAACACGAAGAGAAATGGGTGCGTCTCCATGGCCCCGGGCCTCGGGCATGGTGGCCGCTGCCTCCTTCCCTCGGAGAGGGGTGCTCCACCGTGGCGTCCCCTCCTTCTGGCGGGTGCACCTCGCGCTCGCGTCGTACTCGTGGCGTGTGCTCTGCGGGCCCCTGGCCTCGGGCATGGTGGCCGCGGCTTCCTTCCCTCGGGGAGGGGTGCTCCCCCCGTGGAGGCCTCCCCGCGGGGAGGCCCCCTGGAGGCTCTCGTCGGGGAAGCACACGACTTGTTTCCAGCCTGCTCTAGCCTTGAGCACCAGAGAGACTTTCGAGCACCAGAACACAAAAAAAAGAAAAACGAGGGTTTTTGCGTGTCGGGCCCGGGGAGGCACTCGCCCAACACTGTTTCGACACGCTTTCGACACTTATCCGGGTGCTCGAAATTATGTTTGGGATGTGGTCCTCAAGTACGATGGGAGCCCCGATCCTGGAGGTCCAGCGCCCCGAGTCCTGCGTCTCCCCGATCCTAACGCAAGACTCGGGTCCCCCGCGCCCGAGTCTTGCGCCTCCCCGGTCCCGGAGGCCCATCGCGGGTCCAAAAGCGCCCGAGCGCTCAGGCGCACACCTCCAGGGCGGGCCTCGCTCGCGGGCGCCTGGCGCGCCGAGGCGGAGGGGGGGGGAGACGGGCGCGAGGGGGAGGGGGGAGGCCGCCCCGGAGGGCGGCGGGGCTCCCGCGGCTCCGAGGAGCCCGTCGCTGGTGTCTCCCGGGGGTGCGGCCGGGCACTTCTTATGGGGAATATGTTTTGCAGATGTTTTGACCATTTGGGGGTATCTTTCGAGTATGGCTTATTTTTCGTCGAAAATCCCCCTGTAGGGGGACACGCCCGACTTAAGGATGGCGTGTCGCTCCGCCGATGCAGCAACATTCAGAAAGACAGATTTCGGGCTGGGAGGATGGGTTTGGGAGAGATGGCCAGATCATCCCTATTATCGCCTATACCGAGCGTGTTTGTAGCGCAGTCGTGCCCCGCATCTTCCCAACCCCATTCTCCCAACCCGATATTCGTCTTTCTGGGAAATCCTCCGACCCCACCCCATCTACGGTCGAAGCCGATGGTGAGGATGAGCGGTTATCCAAAGATGCCCTTGCATCCTTGCCTCTTCGGTCATCGTTCCATCCTCGACCACTTTCGATGGCCAGCTCCGTTCGCAGAAGCTTCGACACGGGCGTCCAAGGGGCTCTCATCCTTACCGCGCATCCTTACTATCAGCTTTGACTGTACTCCGGCCCCATCTGGGAGGCCGCCATAGAGGCTAGGACCAACGCCAGCATCGGCCATTGCCTCGGCCGAGGGGAGATGAGCCTGATCTCTGTGGTGGTGGTGGTGGTGGTGGTGGTGGTGGTGGTGGTGGTGGTGGTGGTGGTGGTGGTGGTGGTGGTGGTGGTGGTGGTGGTGGTGGTGGTGGTGGTGCGGTCGGGAACTTTCGGACAGCGTGTTGCTCCGCCGGTACTGGTCCACCACGCGTTGGCGCGACACGCTACCCACTTCCAGTCTCAAAGCGTCACCGTCCCGAGCATTTCCAAGCCTCCCGCCCAGCGGAGCCGAGCGGCACGCTTTCCGCTTGCAGGGCATAGCGTGTCGCCAGGGCCGCCGTGGCGAGGCGCTAAGCAAAAGCCCCTGACCGTAGCTCAGTAAGCTTCTCAGAAGGCCGGGCGGCTTCTGACCCAGACCCCCGACTTCATGATTGCGTCATGACGTCGACCCCCAGAGTAGTTCTCGATCCATGACCCAGGACCACCTCCCCGCGGATCCAGGCATCGTGAGAAGACCACGACTGGATGTGTTCTGTCCCGCTCTGGGCCTCGAGGGTCCTGACGGGTCCACCATGGCACGAGACGTGCCCCAGAGAGCTGGAGCATTTCACGACCCTGGACCTCCGGGGTTCTCACCCCCTTTCCCAGCCGGGAACATATCCCTACCTACACGACCACCCTTCGGGTGATAAGGAGGTTCAGGAGGTGGAGAGGAACCAACGTCTTACTGAATCGATCTCACTATCGATCTCACTGTGGATACCACTAACGATCCTCACTATCGATTTCACTATTGAACTCACGATTGATCACACAATCGACCTCACATCGACTTCACTATGGATCTCATTATGGGTCTCATTGTCGATCTCTCCATCGATCTCACGATCGATCTTACTATCGATCTCACGGTCGAAGAACGATCGATCTGACCATCGATCTGACCATCGGTCTCACTGTCGATCTAGCTGTCGATCGCACTATCGATCTTACTGTCGACCTCACGATCAATCTCACGATCGATCTGACTATCGGTATCACTATCGATCTCACGATCGATCTGACTATCGGTATCACTATCGATCTCACGATCAATCTCACGGGACACCGCGGGACACCACGGGGCACCACAGGACACCATGGGGACACCGCATGGGACAGTACGGTGGAACACCACGGCGGGACACCGCGGGACACCATCGAGACACCGCGGGACAGCACGGGACAGCACAGGACACCATCGGGACACCATCGGGGCATCACGGCGGGACACCCTCAGTACCCGCCCGCCACGCAGCAGGGGGAGGGGCAGACTTCTTTCCCCGCCGCGCCCTAGCCAGAGGAGGCTTCATTCCTGTCGCGCCCACGCAGCTTCGCCTCGCCCGCACGCACGACACGAACCCGAAACCGAAACCGATTTCCCGGTGAGGGGCTCTCCGTTATATTTCGATCCCACCCTTTCACATCCGATCCCTATGATTGGCACCGCCGCATCTCGATGCCGATCTCAAGGGTTTCCTCAGTTTGTGAGGGCGCACCCCTAAGATTATCATCGCCTCGGGAGTTGTCACTCTTAGCGATACCATCTCGAGCCCGATCACCCCTCCCAGCCGAGGAGAAACGCCCGCCATGATCTCCCCACGACGCGGCGGCGAACGACGAATGGCGAGCGGCGGCCCGTCGGGGCGCATGTCGCGCCGATCGATCTGATGTGATGTCGGTTCTGGCTGGCTCGATCTGGTGCGGCCCGATCGGTCCGACCGATCGGTCCGATTCGACCGACCCGATTCGGCTGCGACATGGTGGCGATCCGATGGGGCCCGACGCTTTTGCAAGGCGCCGCCGTGCACCCCCGTGCGCCGCCGAGCCGACTCCGACCCCGTGCCGGCACGGCCCGATCCGGTGCACGCCCCGAGCCGATCCACGGTCTGATCTTGCCCGGAGGGCCGGAGGAGGGCGAGGTGAGGCAACGGGCGCTCAGAACCCGTCCCCGGGTGCTCTCCGGGGGTCCACGCGCACCGGTGTTCCGAGTGGCGTCCAAGTCCAGGCGCACGTGGCGACGAGGGGGCCCCCCGAAGGCCAAACACCGTTGTCTCAGCGGGCTCTTCTCCGAAAGGGCCGCGCGCGCGCGCCCCGCAGAACGCCCTCACCACGCGGGACATGGCCCCCCTGCTCGCCGAGCTGAGGCCGATCTGCGAGTCGCACGGCCTGCGCTTGGAGGCCCCGCCTCCCCTCTCCAGGAGGGCATGGCGGCGGCCGTATCGTCGGCAGGACGTGCTGCACGGTACGTAGGCACATCAGGTAAGAAATCGGCGTGCCAGCAGGTGCGCAACGGGTAACTCTAATCCTCCGATGGCCCGAGGGACCCACAGAAGCTCTGGGGCACCGTGGGGCCCTCCAAGATCGCCGAAGAATGGGCCCCAAAATCTCCCATAGCAAGACGTCTTGAAGCTTGACGCCTTATCGTATGTGTCTACCGTCGTATCGTATGTGTCTATATAAATATCCGTACCGTCTGTCGTATCGTCTGTCGTACCGTCTTATCGTATACAAACGATAACGTCTTATCGTGCGCGTCTGCTGTGTAGGCTAGAGGGCATGCATGCGAGCACGCATCTGGTGCGCAGCCGCCGAGGCTCGAGCCCAGAGATCCGTCGGCACGCCCTAGAGCCAGGCAGGGTACACAGACTGCGCAATCGGGAAGGATGAAGGACGAGGAGGAAGAAGAGGGAGCAGACGGGCAGGAGGAGGAGGAGGAGGAGGAGGAGGGAGGAAGGTGGAGGAGGGAGAAAGGTGGAGGGATGGTCGGAGAGCAGGGAGAAGGAACCCCGACGCCACGACAGCGAAGGCCTGGAGCATGGCCGGCCGTTCTCGTGCAGCTGCGCCCGTGCAGCCCTGCCGGCAGTCGCACCTCCACCCCCCCGACGGAGGACATCGACGCGGACGGCGACGGCAGCATCTCGTTCGCGGAGGGGGCGGGGGCGCGTGGGACGGCGTCGCTGCCTCAATTCAAGCAGTGGCGAAGCGTCTTTGCTCGCCGATAGCCCCACCAAACAATGTTCTAAGAATCGCGTGTGGTTTCCACGAAATGCTCTTAGAACATTTCTGGCGGAGTATGTCTTGTTTGAACACATCGGGTTGATCTTCTAGAGCATTGCTTTCGTTATCAGAACAGTTTTGGGTTCTAAGAATATTTCGTGGTAGTATCATAGGAATCGGGACGGTCGGTCCCTGCTCAACCAATGGCCTGCTCAGTGCCAGGCCCGAAGGGGGTCCTCACCCTGGGGTGCTCTTCCTCGGCGGCGCTCGGGGGGAAGGGGGGGGGGAAGTGAGAGGGTCGGCTGCACGCAAGAGTGGCCCCTCGCCGGAATGGCACCTGGTGCGGGCCCCTCGGGGTTCCCCCGATCGCTGAGCGCGATGCGATAGCGGCTGCTTGCGAGCTTGAATTTGGCCACCTCGCGCCCCCCTAATCCGCGCACCAAAGGTCACTATTGCCTGGGGTCACTCTTGCGTGTAGCCGAGAAGGGGCAGGCCTTCTCATAAGGCGGCGGTGCTTCTCAGAAGCCCTCCAGCATTCCAAGAGGCCCCCGGCGGATTCGGAGAGGGCTCCGAGAGCTTCTCCGTAGGCCAGAGGCCTGCTGAGGGCCCTTCGCTCAGGCCAGCCCTCTCTGCCTTCACCCCCTGTCTGGGCACAACAAAGAGCCACAATCAGAAGTAAGTGGGTTTTTCCGCAGGGCCCCTCGGGGGAGAACCCACCGACCTCGGCATGAGCACACTGGTTGTGAATTGTGGTTGTGGTCGGTTCGGCCGTCTGAGACCCCCGCATCGACCACAACCAGGAGTAAGTCCAGACGCTGAAGTGGGCACCACTTTGGGCTCAGAGGGGACTCTGGTGTCCGGGGCCGTTCCTCAAATCTGGGTCGGGGAACCTGTTCGAAGCCGAGGCTGGCCGTGGCCAGGAAGGCCCCTTCGTTCCCTTCACGGCGTCCTGTACGGTAGCGCGGCGGCTGTGCGCGGCCCCCCCCCCCCCGGGGTGCGTCCTCGAGGTGGTCCTGGTCGCCCGCCGTCCCCGCACCCCGGGGCGCGCCACCGAGCCCCGCCTGTCCTCGCACCGCGTGGCCGGGCGGGGCCAGGGCGAGGGTGAGGCCGTTCCGGAGCGTGGCGCCACGCGCTCGGGGCGTTGCGGAACGCCCTGAGAAGGCCGCGGCGCCCGAGACCCCCAGAGCCGCCGGATCTCGGGGATGCTTACCCTCGTGCGATGTGATCCTCGTCCTGGCTTCGTCTTCGAGTGGGACAGCCGAGGGTCTCACGCGACTTGCCACCCCTGGCAAGCTGGGGTCGCTCAGAGATTCCCGACTGATCCTTGTCCGGCTTTGTCCCTGCCCTGGCCTCGTCTTACCTCGGCGCACCCGAACCGTCGCTCGTCAAGGGCTTAACGACTCCGGCTGTCCCTCGACTCGCGCAGGAGTCCTCACGGTGTCTTCCTAGGTTTACCGGGGCACCTCTGGACCCAGACCCCTTCGGGCCATGAAACGAACACGACGGAAGGTGAATCCTCGCCCAGAGTTATCCTCGTCCTGGCTTCGTCTCACATACCGTCGGCATTGATTACTAGGTCGAGCCTGCCAAATCAAGGGTCCCCTTAGGTACCCTTGCGTCCTGTGCCTCGCGACCCATGCCTCCCATCTCCCCCATGGCAATGTGACAATGTGTGGCCCTCGGAAGGGTCTTGTGCCCTCTCGCGTGTCCTGTCCGATCAAGGCCGACGGTGAGCGGTGCTGCGGGCCACGCCGCGCCGAGCCCCCCCCCGCCCCCCCAAACGAGGCGCAAAGCCCCCGCCCTGCCCCGCCCGCGGCGCGAGCGGCGTCGCGCGTGCGGCCGCCCCTGCCGGCGGGCGCTCCCCCGGCGGAGGCCGAAGGGGTGGGCGGCTCGTGGGTCCGACGATGGCGATCGGTGTCGTTCAGCCAGCCCCCTATCTCAACGAAGGAAGCACGGCATAAGCACAGACTTTCGACGTTCCGGAAGCAAGCATCGTCTCGATAGGAACCGGCCTTCGTGGGGAAACGCGGTTTTAACATGGTGTGGTGACGTTAAGTTGGCCGGCCACCTGTTGAGAAAAAACAGAAAAAATCGACGTTCCGCGCGGGTTTCTTGGATCTGCGCTGGGCCGCCCTGGCGGCGCCTACGGCGCCGCCCCTGGCGCGCTCCGCGCGCAATGGAGAGGGGCCCTCTGCAGGTTCAAGAAATCCGCGCGGACCGTCGACGGTTTCTGTTTCTGCTGTTTTTTCTATTTCTACCATCCCCATTCGGGGGAACGTAAGACCCGGGTTTGCCGGGACTCGGGTTCGCCATCGTTTTTTGACGACCGCGCCTCGGATTTTGACGAGGAGGAGTTTCGTGGGATGTCTGCAGCGGGAGGCCTCGTCAAAATGCAGGCTCGGCCTCGTCATTTTTTTGACGACCTCGTCGGGGATTTCCGAGTCACCCGTACCCGGGTCTTACGTCTCCCCGGCCCATCCCCAGCCCCATCCAGACCCCCACCATCTCACCCCCCCAGTTGAGGATATACCCCTCGAAACCCGAAGTAAACTGCCTGTACCCCCATCTGCAAGGTAATTCGGCCAGAAGGGCCCGGGCCACGCCCATGGGGATAGGGATTGGGATCGGTTAAACGACGCTCAGACGACGCGTCGAAGAAGGAAACACAGCACAAGCACAGATTGTCGGAGCTCCACGCAGATCTCTTGGATCGGCGCTGGCACCCCCTCCCCTCCCTGGCGGCGCCTCCGGCACCGCCCCTGGCGCGCTTCGCGCGCCCGTTTGGGGGTCGACATCGTGAACAAGTTATGGCGTCGGGGGTCCAGGAAGCGCGCAGGGGCGGGCAGTTGCCCCCACACCGCTCTTGCACGCCCGTGGGGAGGGGGGGAGGGGAGCGGCAAGGGGCGCCCCGCTCTCGGTGTGCGGGACGAGCAGCAGGAGGGAGCGAGGGAGGGAGGGAGGGAGGGAGGGAGGTGGTGGTGGAGGAGGAGGAGGAGGAGGAGAAGGAGGAGGAGCAGGAGCAGGAGCACGATAGGGCGGAGGAGGAGGAGGAGGAGGAGCAGGAGGCGGAGGAGGATTACGGCTCGCGCCAGCCTACGCTGGCGCAGCGCCAAGAAAGGTTGAGGAGGAGGAGGAGAGGAGGAGGGAGGAGGAGGAGGAGGAGAGGAGGAGGAGGAGAGGAGGAGGGGAGGAGGAGAGGGGGAGGAGGAGGAGGAGGAGGAGGAGGAGGAGGAGGAGGAGGAGGAGGAGGAGCAGCAGCAGCAGGTGGACGATACGAGTGTCTCGGGTGGGCACCAAACCGACCCGCAGCGACATCACCGCAGTGACATCAGACAGGCAAGAAACCCAGCTTTGAGATGAGGCACGATATACCCAGCGGCAAACACACACACACACACACACACACACACACACACACACACACACACACACATCGAACGCACTCACGCGCGGTGGCCGATGACAGCGGCGGCGACGGCGACGGCGGCGACGACGACGAGGTGAAAGCGTCAACGATGTTGGCAAGAGGCGGAGGGAGAAATTCTGAGTCCTCGGCCTCCGTCGCCCCCACTTCCTCCCCCATATCGTCCTCTTCCTCCGTCTCCTACCATATCCCCCCCACCTCTGGAGGTCGCTGGAGGCGAACAAACATAAATCAGAAATCCTGAGTCATGTGTCCCGGATCCTCGAACCATGTTGGGTCTCCTCCTCATCCTCGTCCTCTTCCTCCTCCTCCTCCTAGTCGGCGTTGGAGCTCAGGCACTCTCAGCCCCGACGGAGTGAGGATTTTCACTGGTACTCACTCGCACGACTTCCGCCCCATACATCCTCCATTCTCGGGCCAGAGAGGAGTAGGGGGGAGGAGGGACGGAGAGAAGAAACATCACATTCCCTGCAGCCATTCCGATACCGTACATTTTGCGACCCCTTCTCGCGTGACAGGGTCGTAATCTGGTGACGGGATTTCCCTTTGCCGCAACTTTCCACATGTCGTATGGAGAATTGGAGTGCGACCTTGAAAAAAACGACGAACCACAGACGAAGAGAACGGATCCGCCGTACCCACACTCGGAAATGCCATATTTCCAGGATTGCCATGTGCGAACCATTGGTCGATCAAATGCCGCCGTTGGACAGCAGTTGCCAAAAGGAAGATGGAGGCCCTAGGGTTCGGATGCAACCGGAGGGTACCAATGAAGAACTTCGAAAAACCCATGAACGATTCAGAAATGTGGGAACAGCTGCGCCAGGAGATTGATAAACAAATGCTCCAATGGAATCCATGTGGACCTGCTTTGCATCCACTTGTTTGCTGGCAAGCGAAGATGAACGACAACGGTTCGAGGGAAGATGGGGGCCCTGAGGTTCGGAGGTCGTCGGTTGCGACCGATGAGGAACTTCAGAAATCCACAGATCCCTGCTCTTCCGGTGATGGAAGTTTCATGTGCCGCATCTGCCCAAATTCCGATGGAAGATTGGAGTGCGGCCTTGAAGAAAGCGGGGAACCAAAGAAGCAGAGAACGGCTTTTGTGGAAAAGCTGGCAGGGGAGATCGAAGATCAACTACGCCAATGGGGCCCTTTTGGCCCAGCTCTGCATTCATTTGCCCGTCGGCGAGATAGCGTGGACGACGACAGCCAGAGGGAAAATGGAGGCCCCGAGGTTCGGAGGCCGTTGGCCTTCGCCAGTGATGAACCTCGAAGACCCATGACCACTCTGTCGGCGAATCGGAACATACCTAAGGAAATTTATGAGGTGTTTATGAACAGTGCAGGCCCTTCACTTAACGTGACAAGTTTCACACATGTTGACCCCTGGCCACACACAGTAAGAAGTGGAGGATGCACTGACACAATTCGACGCATTGGGTTTCTTCACAACATATGGAGGAGGCAAAGTCAAATTCAGCCCGGCATAGATGATCTAGATCCAGGAGGCCATTGACACCCAAAGGGCAGCAGCTGAATAAGAAAAATACTTTCGCGACCGAACGCTGGACCCAGTCCGCGACGTAGTGTCGAAACACTTTGGCAAATTTGCTTCCGCGGTGGAAATTCAGCAACAACTGGCTCTCAGCGGCGAATTCCGTACTTTTGTATTGACATTGAAGACACCGTTTCAAAGTGGATATTCTTGGGCGTTTTGTTTTATCCAAGTTGGAGACAAAAACACACGCGCTGACATTTAATGACATTGAACGGAAATGCCGTGCAAATGTTCTGCATGTGCCGCATGTGTCCCCAGATTTTCTGATGTAGTAAGTGTGACATTGCAGACGACGAAAAGAGCAGAGGTTGTGCATTTCTGAGCGCGCTGAGCGCGGGAAGCAGATGTTTCGGCGCAGTGAGAGCTGAGAGCACTAGCAAGGACATCTCGGAGCGCAGGAATTCACACATTAAAGAGGGCTTCAGGGAACCCCCATATTCGGGAACCCTGTTCGCCAGCGCGTTCCCCAGAGTAAACACGCGAACAGGCCAACAGCTGTTCCCCCCGCGTTGGCCCGTAGGGATTCGCCAGTCTGCGAGCCTCTCTGGCGGGGCTTGCCTCGGCGTTCGTTCCCTTATAGCCTGGTACGCCCCCTGCCCCCATGCGAAGTATGGGCCTGGGCACACTTATTCATCGCAGGGGATTTTTGCAAGTCGCACCCCACGGTTCCTTCACGGGCGATTCGACGTGGACCCGCTCATGTGGATGTCCTGTCCTGTCCTGTCTTGTCCTGTCCTGTCCTGTCCTGTCCTGTCCTGTCCTGTCCTGTCCTCCTCCTCCTCCTCCTCCTCCCCCTGTTCCTCCTCCTCATCCTCATCCCCCTACTCATCCTCATTATCATCATCATCCTTGGCCAACTTGTTCCATAATTCCATGGATCACTCTCTCGTCCGTTGATCATTCCATTCCAGAAGGTTCCTTCTCTGGGCCTGTCAGGGTTCTGAGAGTACCGAAGCTCGTGAGCAACAGCTCTTGTGTCTCAGCCGTGGTGGATGGACCCAGGGACGGACGAACAAGCTTGGCAAGGTTTGTCGGGCCCTGACTCCCCAAGGGCGCGAGGTACGTGCCTTTCATCTCGGACGCGGCCCGGATCTTCGGCTCCGTGAGTTGAACGACACGGCCGCTTTTGTGTCGCGACTTGAGGCCACCTTTGCGAGTTCCAGGGAAATTCAAAGTTTCATTCGTTCCCAGAGGTTTCTCATCCAGTGCCGGGGCCCCACAGTATGAGCAGAGAACCTTGCCTTCCTTGCACGTGCCAAGGCCCAAGGAGGAACGCTGTGTGTTTTTGGTGTGCTCACCCTCCGGCATTTCCAAGGCGCTGTCTTCCCTTTTCTCAACTATCCTCCCGCGTTTCAGCTCGGTCCCAGGGAGTCAGGTCGTCGTCCAGGGGCGGACGGAGATTCAGAGGGGGGCTGGGCGATCAGGGCGGCAAGGGGAGGGGACAGGGAGGGAAATAATGAAGGGATTGGTGAGCGCTTGGCGTGGAGGTGAAGCGGGAAGTTGGCGTGGAGGTGATGGGGGAAGTCTTGTCGACTCGAGATTCGAGGATAAAGATGCTGAGTTGTTTTGGCAGCCTTCTGTATACCTCCTGGAGGCCTCCACAAACCTTCTTCAGATCCGGCGTGGTGGAAAAATGTAACCTCGCGAAAAATCGCGACCGGAACCCTAGGCCCAATCTTTCTGGTGCTTCTTGCGAGCCCGATCGAGCTCAGAGAGCCCCCATGATAAAACATTGCGATGCAGGAGTGATTCAGGGGTCGAGGGGGACGAGAATGGGGCGGGGTCCTCAGAGGTGGCGTTCAACCGTCAACTTCCGCGGCGTTGTCGGCACCGCGTCAAGACGACACGAGTTTACCTTAGCGGGGTCATCCATATTGTAACAGGCGAGCCGCGGCGGAGAAGAGAAACAGCGAGACAGAAAGCACTCCTCAAACCCGCTCGCCCGCCTCTGGCCCTTGGGAGCACTGGGGCAGGCGGGGCACCGGGGGGGCTGGTGGGTTGGCAGCGGGGCAGAGGCCAGAGCAGGGCTTCCGTGGCAGCGAGGCGGGGGGCGGACGACGTCGTCGTCGTCGTCGTCGTCGTCCTAGTCGTCGTCGTCCTAGTCGTCGTCGTCCTAGTCGTCGTTGTCCTAGTCGTCGTCGAGGGCGGCCCGGCAGAGGAGTTCTGCGGCTACTTCGGGCGGACGGGCGTGAAATACGCGCAGGAGCCGGAGAGGCCGCGGCGGGGAGGGGAGGCCGACGGGGCGGGCGAGGCGTTGCCCGGGCAAGGGCCAGCAGGAGAAGAGGAGGAGGAGGAAGGAGGAAGGAGAAGGGGAAGGAGGAGGAGGAGGAGGAGGAGGAGGAGGCAGAGGAGGAGGCAGAGGAGGAGGAGGGGGAGGAGGGGGAGTTCAGGAGGTTGAGGAGGGGGAAGAGGAGGAGGGTATCGGCTTATGATGTTCCAACCTACTTTAGCCTTGACCACCAGAGAGAATTTCGAGCACCAGAAGAGTACCCAAAATTCGGGTTTTCACGCGTCGGGCCCTGGGCGACACTCGTCCGACACTGTTTCGACACCGTTTCGACACTCTTTTGACAACTTTTCCAGGTGCTTGAAATTATTTCTGGGATGTGGTCCGTACGTACGATGGGAGCAACAGAAGTATTACGGTGGAAGACAAGATACCGATACCGCTGCTCGTGCTGGAGAGCTCTCGTCGGCACGGCGGGATGATCCTCGAAAGGCTGGTGAGAACGCAACCCAGGAGAGGTCCGCGGAGTAGCGGTATCGGTATCGTTTGGTGTTCCCAAGGGCAGGGAGGGAGGGAGAAAGGACGAGTAGGAGGGAGAGGAACAGGAGTTCGGCGACGAGGCGGCGGACGAGGACGACGAGGAAGAAGGAGAGGGTGAGGGGGGATGAGAAGGGGGCAGGGGTAGGAGGAAGAAAGGGAGTGCGAAGAGGGGGAGGAGGAGGAGGAGCAGAAAAGTCGGAGCAAGGGAAAGTGGAGTGGAATAGGAGAAGTGTGAGGATGAGAATACGTCTGACGTCTGGGAGTATTACTGATTGACATCATACGCCGCAACTAGTCGAGATGAAAGACAGTAGCAGAAGCACAGCTGGCATGTTGACGCAAGCCGCCAGTTCGGCTCCGTGGCAAAGGAGATCGCCATCCAGGTAAGGCTGGAGCCAACAATGAGTCGGAGTGCGAAGCAGTTTTGCGATGGCGGAGATTGCAGTGAAGCAGCTTCGTCGGACGACTTTGGAGCAGGGTGTTCACTCCTGCTCCTCCTTCTTCCTTCTCCCCCTCGTGATTCAGTCCCTCGCTGCGGTCTTTGCACTGCGGTGCCCTCGGGGAGAAGAAGGAGGAGTAGGAACAGCGGCAGCAGGAGGAGGACATATTAGAGGGAAGGCGACGTGGGTGTGGGCGGGGGAGGGAACGGCAGATGGGGCGGTTCGCGAGACGCAGGGTGGGCTGCCAGGGTCTCCCCCCGGGGGGGTGGTGGGCTTGCAGCGGAGGCCTTCGCTCACGCAGAAGAGCGCGTCCAGGCTCCCCATGAAGGCTCCGCGGAGGGGGGCACCGCACGCGCGCGCGCGCGGCGCCCCAGAGGGAGCTGCCTCGCCCTCGAAGGGCTCGAGCAGCTGGCCTCTCTCTCTCTCTCTCGGTGGGCGGGCGGGCGGGAGCAGAGCGGCGGAAGGGCCGCCAGCGGCAGGCCGCGGAAGGTCGGCGCACGCCCGCGGAGGCAAAAGATGCGCCCCCCAGGAGTGTCAGTCTCTTTGGGGGGGCTCAGGTGTCCCGGAACCCGCCGTACCTGAGCTGCCTCGATACGCCCGTTTTGATACGCAGCACGTACCGATTTCAAAAAGTCCGATCGATACGTCGCGTGTCGGCTGAGCGTATTGGTCCACGTTTCGGTGGACGTATCGCGCCAGACCTACGTTTTCAGTCTACGTGTTGCGCCCCGTATGGATACGCCACGTGTCGCGTGTTGCGTATCGGGGCAGCCAAGCGCCCTACAGGCGGTCGTTGCTCGAAGCATGGGTCGGGACGACGTTCGAGGGTCAGCTTCGAGCGAGCCTTTGCCGGGAGACGCGTGCACATGGTTCATTTCAAATTATTCGAACATTATTTGATTTTTTTGGGGCCACGATCCTTTCATTCCTAATTCTTCTATCCTGGGCCTCTTCCTGGCCACTGGGGGGCCAGGAACAGTTAGAAACTAGCACAATTAGAAATGAGCACGATTAGATATGAACGACGTGTAGATTGTGATGTTTCGAGGCGCATACGGTCAAGTCGGTTTATCCTGCCTTTGACGCACATCAGTCAGAGCGCGACGCTCGCTCAAGATAGGAACGGCACGAGCACGGAGGAGCACTTCGGTGATGGCGACACAAGATGATTCCCACAGCTTGCATGCTGCATTTAGCGATGGTGTGGACAAGCACTGCACTTGGCTTGTTACACAGATACATCACATTGCATGTCGTACTGCCCCGCTCGACGCAATATATATTGTTCCGTAAATGTTCCCACAGCATGTCGTGCTCCAATGTGAGTGGGCAACTATGTGCGGCTTGTGGAGTCTGAGTTCTGGGCGGCACCCTCCTTGCAGCTCTCCTCAAATATCCCCAGAGGAGGAGGAGAATAGGCGCAGGAGAAGGGGCATCCCGGTATCCCTGACTCACAGGGTCTGCCACTTGTGGGGGCAAAGTAATGAAGAGGACCAGGAGGAGGAGGCCAAGGGATGAGGAGAGTCTGGGTAGTCTCGGAAGTCCGAGCCCCATGAATGAGAGCGGTTGGCGCGACTCTGGGTGCCGAGGGCAGGAGCATATCCGCTTGGTCGGCAACGAGCAGGTGTTGGGCCATCTGAGGAAGGAGGTCGAGAGGAGCTTCGAGAAAAACTCCGCGGAGTTCCAGAACTACCAGGCGCCCGGCGCATGTCTCCATGCTTCCTGTCCGCTGTGGCCCCCGCTCCCTCTCTCTGATCAGCCATGTGCCCCGTGCAAAAAGGTCGAGGCGGTGAAAGGGTCTCACATGCTCACCATCCTCCTCCTCCACCTTCCCCTCATCCTCCCCCTCCCCCTCCTCTGCCTCCCCCTCCACCTCCCCCTCCTCCCCCTCCTCCTCCTCCGCCTCCTCCTCCTCCTGCCACGCACCACTGGTTTCGTGTGGATCATCGCTACTGGTGAATCATCGCTGCTGGCGACCACCAGTTGATTTCTGAGAAGGGCCGCCCTGTCTCACTTCCCCCTCGGGCGCGCCGCCGACACTGATTGCGCGTGGGTCATTGCTACTAGCGGTCGTTTCTTCGCCATGTGGTTAGTGATCCAAGGCAGTCGTTGCTTTAAGCTTGCTCGTTTCACCACGTGTCCTAAGACGTGTCGGCTGTTGCTCGTTGAGCTGTTGTCGTGTTGTGTCCATAGCAGGGTTACGAACTGACTAGTACGCAACACAGTATCAGTCACGTAGTGAACGACTATCACGGCTTCTAGACCCAAGCGTGTTTCGTATAACCAGGCCTCCTTCAACTACACCCGATTGCACTTGCATGCGTGCGAAGCGAGAGCTTCATAGGAAGTGGGCTCCCGCTCGAGGGTTCGTCTCGATTCACGCACAGGCGATGCTACCCCACGAGACATCCTCGCAATCGAGGCCTCAGAAACCAAAAAGTGACGACAGTTACCTAATTTGGGATAGCCGCCTCGAATGAGTACCATGAAGTGGGCACCTCATAGGGGGGGGGGGGGGCCGCTCGAGGCTTCGTCGCGATTCACTCACAGGCGAGGCTTCCGCTCAAGGCTTCCTCAAGATGAATCAGTGTGTGAGTGTGTGAGTGTGTGAGTGTGTGAGTGAGTTGTGTGTGCGCGATGGAGTGAGAGCGTAAATGGGTATGTGAGTGTGTGTGCGTGTGAGAAATGATGTGAGTGCGCGAGGTGATGATAATGATGATGAGGAGGAGAAGTAGGAGGATGTGGATCAGGATGAGGATGTGGATGAGGATGACGACGATGATGAAGATGATGATGATGATGCTGATGATGATGATGATGATGATGATGATGACGATGTTGATGATGATGATGGTGATGATGATGATGCTTATGACGATGCTGATGCTGATGCTGATGACGATAAGGATGATGTTGGTTCGAACGATGACGGTGATGCTGCTGATGATGATGATGATGATGACGATGATGATGATGATGATGATGATGATGATGATGATGATGGTGATGATGACGATGATGATGGCGATGATGATGAATACTGCTGATGAGGATGAGGATGATGGTGGTGGTGATCTTGATGGTGATGGTGTGTATGCGGGCTCCTCTGGTCTGGTTCCTGCATGATTCCTACGCGGGCTTTTTTTTAGAGAAATAAGAACGCCACTTAGGATATGTGGAACAACATAATCTCCGAAGACCTGAATTTCCAGCACGCCGTTGGCCCGTTGGTCCAGCATGTTTTGGCCGCCCTGGAGCAACCTCGCCAGACGCGCTCGGCGCGGCCCAGCCAAGGTATGTGAATAGCACGGCCGCGGCCATGAAACCTCCCAGATGTCATGACCCCTTCTCCAGTGTGTTCCTCTTCTTACCCCCATGCGCTCCCGAGCCCCCTCTCTCTTCCGCGCACATGCTTCGGGCCCGCACCCCAGTCTTGAGGCCGATTATGTACGGACCGCCGACAGGCCTTGTGCAACCTCCCGGCATCGCTCGGACGTGCGCACTTCCCCTTCGGCGAGGACCATCGAGGAGAATGTTGAAATCATTTGCGAACAAATACACGCACGAAGCCGAAAAATGCACGCGGAGTGGACGTTCCGAGCGATGGAGAGACCTCCGTCGGAATCAGGGAGCTCTCCACGGCGGCGCATTCATTGGCTCCCGCCGCTGTCTGCACTGCTTTTTCTGTGTGTTCCGCTCCGCTCTCCCTCCCTCGCCCTCGTCCCTTCTTCAGGCAGGCCTCGGATGAACGGGAGGGAACATGGCTGGACGAGTGCCACTGCCATCATGATCATCACAGATCATGGTCATCAGACAGGACGAGGTGGGCGGGGGGAGAGGAGAGCCAACGCTGCCTCCACGAACCCTCGGAAACGGCCATCCCTTCCTCAGGCAGGCCTGGGATGAGGATGAATTGCTCCAGGACGCTCTCGGAGCGTTGCAATGGCCGCGGCGCCCGATGCATCCTCCAAGCTCGCCAGCTCGCAGAGATTCACGATGCATCCTAACCCGAACTTGTCTTCCTCCTACCTTCGTCTTGCTTCTCCGCTGCCCCTCTCGGGCGCGGTGCCAGGGCCAAGGTAACACGGTCGCAGAGCGCTCCGGCACGCTCTCGGAGCGCTCCGGGGCGCTCTGGAACGGCCCCCCTGCCCGATACAGCCTCGAAGCCCGGCAGGCCGCAGGCCGAAAGCGGCGAACGATTCGTTTGTCTTGCGTTGAGCAATACGCTGGAGGTCTGGGTCTCTTGGCCCTCCCCCTCCTCGTCGGGCGGGGCCAGGGCACGGACACGTCGTTCCAGAGCGTTCTGGAGCGCTCTCAGAGCGTTCTCAAGGCAACCTCCAGAACCGACGGATATCCGAGATCCTCGAGCTGTCCTGGTCGGAGTTTCTCCCGATCCCTGGCTTCCTCTTATCGGGGGAGCGTAAGACCCGGGTTTGCCAGGACTCGGGTTCGCCATCGTTTTTTGACGACCGCGACTCGGATTTTGACGAGGAGGAGTTTCGTGGGATGTCTGCAGCGGGAGGCCTCGTCAGAATGCAGGCTCGGCCTCGTCATTTTTTTTTGACGACCTCGTCGGGGATTTCCGAGTCCCCCGTACCCGGGTCTTACGTCCCCCTGCCCACATGGCAGCGGCTCGCCCTGCTTCGCGGCCGCATCGCACACCTTCCGCTGCTGGACCGTGGGGTCCAGCAGCGCGGAGCTGGCTCGCCGAGGCCCCTGCGGCCTCCGTGAGGCTGCCGAGGGGTCGCCCTGGCTGGGCCGTCTCTCCGAACCGGGGGGAGCGCGACTGCCTCGCTGGCGAGCGTCGGCGCGGCCTGCAAGAGCCGGAGGAGCCGGGTCTTACGTCTCCCCGATCTTACCACCTGACCGGCCTGTGCGGCTCCGCTCTCTCGTGGCCTCCTCGGCTTGGCACGCGCGCGGGTGCCCGACGCTGCCTCGGCACGCGCGCGCTCCGGCAGCAGGCCTCGGCGAGCCACCCCCCCCTCGTGCCGAGCATTTTCTTTGGGTTGCAAAGGATTGCAAAAAAAAAACGAAGGATTGCAAAAAAAAAACAAAAAAACGAAGGATTGCAAAAAAACGAAGGATTGCAAAAAAACCCAGGATTGCAAAAAAACCCAGGTTTTTTTGCAATCCTTCGAGCATTTTCTTTGGGTGGAGGGCAATGGGTGAAATCTGAAATGCCGTTTCGATGGATGTGTGAGGCTCGAATCTGCGAGAGGTGAATCACAGGACGGATCGGTTCTCGAGGTGCAAAAATCCATGCGGACTTCACCCTGAGCCCTCCACCCTAAGAAAATGCTCAGTCGTGCCCCGAGGCGCACCGGGCCAAGGCGGACGAGGACGAGCTCGGGGTCGAGAAGAGGACACCCGGCCGAAGTCTGGCCAGCTGTGCCCGAGCCATGAGGCGCTGCAGCCCGACCCCTCCCCCAGAGACCCAGTGTCTCGACTCCTCCTCCTCCTCCTCCTCCTCCTCCTCCTCCTCCTCCTCCTCCTCCTCCTCCTCCTCCTCCTCCTCCTCCTCCTCCTTCTGCCGCGCGGGGCCCCCCGAAGACCCAGCCGCTTCCCCGGGGCCGGCGGCCCGTCCCGAGTCCTCGCTGGACGGCCCAGGGGCCTGGCAGGGGCCGCAGGACCCAGACCCCCTCGAGTCATGAAAAAATCACGACGGAAGGTTTTTCCATATTTTCAGCCTCTGGGGGCCCTTACCGGCCCTCGGGACCGTCAAAAAACGACTCAGGATGAAAAACCGGTCCCGGCGAATAGGTCCGGACCTCTGGGGGTCGCGTCATGAAAAAATCATGACGTCGGGGGTCTGGGGAGGCCGAAGACGGCGACGGTCTGGTTTGATACGCTGCGGGTCTGGGCCTCCTGCCCCCTCCTCCGCGTCGGGCGGGGCGACGGGCGGGGCGCTCCAACGAGAGCCTTGCCTTCGAGGACAGGAAGGAGCCGTCGTCTCTTCCTCGGCGGAAGGGCGGCGGAATGTCAGCGGAAGTAAGACGAGGCCACTTCCGCCAGCGAAGCCTGCGGGAGGCGGCGGAGGTAGAAACAGGTGCGCCCCCAAGAGATGCCAATCTGTTTGGGTTAAGGGTTGCCGAACTTGGCCAGGTGGCAGGACATCGATAAATCGTTTCAGAGCGTTCCGGAACGCACTCAGAGCGTTCCAGAACGCGCTGAGAAGAGCGCGTTGTTCGATACATCCTCTAGAACCGCAGAAACCTGAAATATTTCCTACTTGTTTGAGATGCTTACGCCATTCCACCGACCCCAAGAGGGAAAACTACGTCCACGGGTTAGCCCTTCTGGGGCCGTTGTGATTGTTGGGGAGGCCCTTTGGGGGTCCTGGGGTCGTCTTGGGGGCCTCTTGGGGACCATTTGGGAGCCTCGTTTGGTCCTCTTGGAAGCCGCTTAGGGCCTTGGTGGGCACAGGCTGGCGGTCTTAGGGGTCCGTTTGGGGCGGAGGGCTCGAAATGCAAGTTCAAGTTGCCCCTCTTGCGCCCCTCGTGGGGCACTGTTGGGGCTCTCTTGGGCCCTTCTTGGGGCCCTGTTGGGGCAATGTTGGGGCCACCTTGGGCGACTCGTTGGCCGTCTTGGGGCTGTCTTGAGAGCTTACTGGGCAGTCTTGGAGCGATCTTGGGGGCCTCTTGCGCAGTCTTGGACGTTGTGGAAACCGAAGAGGCGACCCCGAAGGATTGGGGTGAAGTTTGCCCGTTGGGGCTCTCTTGGGGATCCACGTGGAGCACTCTTGGGGTGTCTTGGTGGCCACTGATGCGCCCTTCATCCTGGCCGCGCCGGACGACACTTTTGCCGACTTCCTCGGACGCCCTGTCTTCGAGCGCCTTCTTTTCTTTGATGCAGATCGTCGTCAGGCCGAGCTGCAAGGGGTGGTTGTCCAGGCAGCCCTCGGCCGTCTTGCTGCAAAGCAGTCGCTCGTAATGATGAGTGCACGTACGCGACTTTCCCGCCAGGTGCCAGGTCGCACTTCCCGTAGCCGTGGCAGAAGCAGTCGTGCACCGTGTTTAGCTTGCGCTACTGCTTCGGCCCCGCCGAGGGCGGTGTCGCGAGGACGTCCTTGGCTTGCCGCCCCACTCACGTGGCCAAGTCCTCTTTGTCCCCGCTGAGCGTGGCCTCGAAAGCTTCACTGTTGCTCTTCCGCTGCGCAGCCGCCTACGCCGTCCTCCGCACCACGTGGTCGTAGGCGATGGTGTGCTTCTCGGCCTGCGCTGCCGGGTTCTGCCTGTCGGCGGCCATCCGGGTCACTTTGTCGTCGAGGTGGCTGCGCGCCGAGGCCGCCAGAAGACGGCCGTGCAGGAGACAGGGCCACGCGCACTTGGTGAAGCTGCTGGCCCACTCCGCGAAGGCAAGGCCTTCGGTCCACGGCCGCGCCTCTTCCGAGCCTTCCAGCCTGTCCTGCCCACATTCGGGGGAGCGTAAGACCCGGGTTTGCCAGGACTCGGGTTCGCCATCTTTTTTTGACGACCGCGCCTCGGATTTTGACGAGGAGGAGTTTCGTGGGATGTTTGCAGCGGGAGGCCTCGTCAAAATGCAGGCTCGGCCTCGTCATTTTTTTTGACGACCTCGTCGGGGATTTCCGAGTCCCCTGTACCCAGGTCTTACGTCCCCCTGCCCACATGGCAGCGGCTCGCCCTGCTTCGCGGCCGCATCGCACACCTTCCGCTGCTGGACCGTGGGGTCCAGCAGCGCGGAGCTGGCTCGCCGAGGCCCCTGCGGCCTCCGTGAGGCTGCCGAGGGGTCGCCCTGGCTGGGCCGCCTCTCCGAACCGGGGGGAGCGCGACTGCCTCGCTGGCGAGCGTCGGCGCGGCCTGCAAGAGCCGGAGGAGCCGCTCCGCTCCCTGCCGGCGCGGCTGCTGGTGCCGCCGGGGGGGGGGGGGGGGTCAGAGCCCCGAATCATCAGGGGTAACTCGGGTCAGGGTTAACTCGGGTTCGTGTTTCGGGAATCCAAACCCGAGTTACCCCGGACCCGAGTTACCCCGGATAACTCGGGCGTCCAGAGCCCCACATCATCAGGGGTAACTCGGGTCAGGGCTAACTCGGGTTCCTTTTTCGGGAATCCGAACCCGAGTTACCCCGGACCCGAGTTACCCCGGATAACTCGGGCGCCCAAGGGGGGGCAGAGCTCCTTCACGACTCGACCGAGGGCTGCACGGGCCCCCGGACCGGGATGCCTCCTCTCCTTCGCCAGTGGGGTTGCGCCATTGGTGGGCGGGCCTGCGCACCAAGTCCCCACGGGGTGTCGGCCAGGCTGCGCGCAACTCATCCGCTGTGCTGAGCCGAGCCTTCAGGAAGATGTCCTTGAGCTCGTTGGCCAAAAAAATCCTGGCCGAAACGCTCCGTGACCACGTCCATGAGGAGGGTGTTCCGGGTGGCCTGCGACCCCCGGCCAGCGGCGGCGTTCGCGGCCAGCGGCCCTGGACGAGCGGCGCCAGCGGCAGCCGACATGCTTTCCGCCTGGGCGCGGCGGGGCAAGGCCATCGCGAGCTGCGAAGGCGAGCGGGGAGGTCAGGGGGAGAAGCAGGGTGCCGGGTGATCGCCAACCCTCGCCTGAGCCGAGGGATGGTTGATGACGGACGGATCGGACGAGGAGGGGGCCAAGTGGGATGCCTCAGAGGCACTTGCAGTAGGATGCCAGATGTGGCGCGATCGCACCAGCTTGTCCTTCCGCCTCCTTCTTCTCGTCGCTCCCTTGCTCCGGCTTCTGTCTCCCCCCCCCCGTGCTCCTGTTTCGCCGCGTGGGTCGCCCCCCCCCCCCCGTACAGGATCTCGACCGCCAGCAGCCTGCCGCACGCCTCCACAATCGGAGG